ATGAATGTATCTTGCTAGTCTTATGTCTATTGATGGTAAACCTACTCTCTTGTATGTAAGAATCACTGTCAGTATGTCATATGTCAGTATCACTGACATCCAAATCTTTGTGATGTTGATTTTGTTGATCAAAATATTATTGAAAAAATGGTTGGTCCTAAATTTGGATAGTTTGTTTCTACATGGCATATCTCTTACTTCAAAAAATGAAAAAACATGAACATTGATGATGACAAGTACAATGAATTTGTAAAATATTTTTTTCAATAATGTCAAATTTTTTTAATGAAACTCAATAGAAAAATCATTATTTTTTAATATTTAATTTTCATTACACACTTTTTAAAAAAATGAGCTTCTAGATGTAATATATTACAAAGAAAATCATTTTGAAGATAAAATCATAATAGTGATTTTATCTTCTTATATGATTGCATAAATCTTGATGACAAAGTTAATGATGAAAAACCCTTTTTTATTTTTGTTGTCATTTTCTTTTTTCAATTAACACAAGCATAAATATTATTTTATTGTGATAGAATGATAATCATCTATCATAAAATGATGAGTGTTCATAAATAAATTTCAGCAAAGATCATGTTCCTTAGCCATGTTTTTTATCAAGATTTGAATATTTTTAAAAAAATCCTAATGAGAATAAGAATGGTGAAAAAAACTGTCAAGGATTGAAGTCATGTCTCATCCCGATAATATTTAGATATAACAATTATGTTTTTAATGTGGCAAAATTGATCATTCAAAGTGAATTTTTGTGACATTGGTGATAGAATTTTTCAATTAATATTGCTAAGAACATAAGAAATACTTTCAATATTAACTATTATCTATGATGTTAATGATATCTCGTGCATTTAATCTTGATAAAAATAATTTCATAAAGTAAGTTTATAAATATGTATTTTGTAGAAGTTATAAAATTAATATAAACTAATAACTTTTAATAATATCTTAATTATTTAATATAAATAATTGTTTGGAAAAAATGAATATTTTTATTGAGGTAAATGTTAAAATGTAAAGATTCAAATATTTGATGATTTTGTGATTACATCAACAATTTCAAATATATTCAATCATGAAAAAATTTGATATTTATTTCTATGTTGTGTGCATATGATCATAAATGGAAAATAATTGAAGATGTATATCAAATCATGATTGAATTAAAAATTATTTCTTTAGATGAAAAAAAAATTCAATTGAATGTGATAAAAGACAATAATTTATGAAGAATTGCATGAATACATGTCTTAATTTATGATATTAAGGATTAAATCATATTAGTGAAAAAAGAATGATCATTTATCACAAAATTTGCTTTCTTTTATTTTACAATCTAGTAATTTAAAACTATATATACTTTATTTGCAAGTTTGATGTTAAAAAATAGCATCAAATTATTTTTGATATTATAGCCCGTGATTTTCATATATACATAATGAAAAATAATATAGTTTTTTATATTTTTGCATTTGAAAAGAATTATAGTGTGTATTTTTATTTAAAAAATCAATTGAGATCATAATTAATTTTTTTATTAACCATTATCATGAAAAATCACAAAAAATATTCATACAAATTAGCAATTTATTAAGATGAAAAAAGATTGACAAAACTTTACTTAGATTTTCAACGTAAATTTTTACGTAGATTTGATTTTGACTTTGAAGATAAAAGAAGAGAGAAGTTGGTAAGTAAATTGTTCAAAACATTATATGAATTGAAAAGAGCTCCTAGATAATAAACGAGGTTTGATGAATTCATCAAGCACAAAGATATTTATAAAATGTGTATATTCCATGTGTATAAATAAAAAAAGTTAAACAATCAAATGTTAAATCTCATTATTCTAGTTATTGCATGGATGCTAACACGTTTATTTTAGCAAAGAATCAATCCAACATTAGCAGATATAAGAAGTAGCTAAAATTTGCATTTGGGATGAAAAAATTCATAAGTCTACAAAATTATTAGAGAAATGTTTACGGTTGGGGAATAAAATTCTACACTTGAGTTCAAGCAAATTGAAAGAAATTGTCTTAACTCAAGCATAGCTTGTGCTACTTGATAATTTTAACATGGTAGATTTTAAAGTAATCTGTTTTTTTTGTCAACACATCTTATTTTTTTTGCAATCCAATCCCATTGAAAAATGATGCCTGTTTTTTATAACAAAACTATGGTCAAATTCATGTATTTATCGTTGTTCACAACAACTATTTTGCTCTAGCTATGAGCAGAATGAAAAAATACATGTCAAATTCTAAAAGTGTGAATTGAAAAACAGTGAAAAAAATTCTTAAAAAACTGAAAATAGTAAATTTTATGATTTGATATTTTACGGTTTATTAGATCATTTCAAATCCTCATTATGTTACACTGATGATGATAATGTACAAATATAAATTTACATTTTCATATGTGTTTACATTTGGTGATGAATGCATTGAAGATCTTTATTAAATAACTTTATAATTCAAATTATAAAAAAATTGAGTTTAAAATAAATACAAATTCTAAATAATATTTATATATTCAAACATATAATTAAAAAAATTTATATGGTTGAATAGTTATATAATTGAAATGAAATTCAAACATAGATTTTAATTCACTATGATAGTCAAAGTGCATTAAAGCTAATTGAAAATTAAATAATCAATGATATAATGATTAGAATTATATCAATTATCATTTTATCAAACATATAATTATTGATAAAGAATTAATACAATCAAAATTTGATAATAAATTCATTCAATCATCAATTGATCAAAATTATCTCACTGAAGAATTTTAGTTTACATTATATTATTATATGGATGTTACATGAGGAACACAAATATGACTTATTTATACCTTTTACTCTCTATGTATATTTTATTTCTATCACATTCTGATTAAAAATTAATTCTAATTAGTTCTAGCTTAAAATCCAAATGATATTAAATTTCTTTCCAAAACTTATCAATCAATAGTTACATTAGAATATGTAATTTATTTTTCATTTTACATGTTAGGATTAACTGTTATTGATTGTCCGCTACACTTTTACTAGATTTGGATCAATATTGACTACAAAAAGTAACAAAATATTGCTAACCTATAACCTTATCTTAGAGAGCTCTTACATCACTGTGATATAGCCAAGAATACAACCATCTATCTTTCATGTACAATTTCGATGTTTTTTATTTTTTTATTTTGAATACCACAAAATCTCAATTATTACAAATCATTATTTCTGAAACATTCATTGATATTTTTTTTATATTAAATCATTTTTAATCACTGATATTTAAAATCTTGAAAAATAGTCAACAGAGCAAAATCTTTCTCTTCATTTCATTGTTTGTATCTATTCAATCATTGTCGCCCGCTTTTCTTTCAATTCAATGTTTATAAGTAATGACTTACAACAAAATTCTGAACGTTGTGTTGAATGAATGTCCGCTTACAAGATAATGCTGTCCGTCTCCTCATCTTCATCTTGTGCAGTACTAAATGTGATTCCATGAGATTCTATTTGAGTGATGATTCTAGAATTGTATAATTTTAGATTAAAAAATATATTCAATAATAATAATAAGTATTTAGGTAGAATAATATAATATATTATAAATATGACAAGAGTGATTCTATTAGAAAGGCCTGCCCCTACGCAACCGAATGGGAAGCATGAAGCCATCTCACAGCTGGTACATATCATTCAAGCATACCTCAATTCAAATGTTCGGGGACTAAAGGGGAACATCCAGTCAGGCTTGTAAGACGAAAGAAAAAAACTTAATGAAAAGACCCTACCATCCGCAAGACATTATCACATGAAAGGGAGAAGAGCCTAAAAGACGTGGGATTAAGAGCAACGGCGCAACTTCAAGTAAAAGTTAACAGAGTGAAGTTATGCTATGGGACAGTCAATGAAAATATGAGGACAAACTATAGCAATATTATTGCAATAAGGCAGATTTATATTGGTAAAATGCAGTACGGACTTTGAAGTCAAGGCCTCAGAAAAGAACAGTAAAAAAACATTGGAAGTTTTCGACTGATTTGACCCAACGAAACTGCAACATTTCTTTGCACATGCTAAAAGTTTCATATATAAAAGAAGTACACTAAGAGCATAGTGCAGCTAGGTTTGATCAAAACATCCATTGCAATTCTATTGATCTGAGAACAAAAGATAGCCGTCCGAAACCAATTTCTCTATCTAAAACCCATCCTTGCAAGGGAAACCTAGCACTGTTTACTGGCAATCACTTTTGTGTGTTTAGTAAACTTTCCGCCAACTGCTTGTACGAAGGCCCAAGTAATATCAAAAGTTCAGATTACTTGAAAAATTACCAGAACATGAGTTTCTCTTAACGGTCCGTACACAAGATACAGACATGTGAACTGCAAGAGATTGTGCATCTCCACTGGGTCGAGTTTATATTAAACGATTCACGATAATGGAGTTTGCAATCACGTGCTACACTGCAAAATTTAGCACCCGTAATTCAAAAATTCAGTTTAAAATTGCGCCCATCATAATCTTCGCACGATATCTGGAAAATGATTTTAGCAGATCTATCGTTTCTTAACTTTAGTTGACAGCAGCCGTGGCCACGCTATTACTTCCTTCAATCAACAGAAAATAGGGTGTTCGCGTTCAAGATGCTAAAGGAATACTGTACACCTAAACGATGTGAACTAACTTGGTAGATGGAAAGCAGGATGGGATACGTTATGCCGCTGAATGCTGTGAGTGGTAGGGTAAGGTGGACAAGCATTGATGGGAGAAGCTGTGCTCAAATAATAAGGCCACAAAGCCACAGTAAGTTGCAAACCTGGTAACTCAATGGACATGAACTGTAGCACAAAACTACTACAGCAGGAAACCGAAGAAATAGTGGCAAACGTCGTAAGTCCATAGAGTAATTGCAAGGTAGTCCTTGCACGGCAGTAGCCCCATGTTGAAAATCCACCGTACCCGGTTGTTCATTAACCTCGAGTCAAATTTCAACCTTGTTTACATGATCACATCTGGCTTTTGCAGAATATTCATAAGAATCAGCTGCTTGACGCGTCACGCACGATATTTGAAAAAAATGTTTTCATCGTCTGTTTCGTCAAGTGGCATCACGTCGATCTGAGAAGGGATTCCAGTCCCAAAGAGATTCGCACTTTCTAGCATTTCATCGAATTTGCAAATGGCACTGGAGCGGAATCAAATTAGGCCAAATTTGATTGAATCAGTTTGAGAAAGCCTCCTCAGATACCAAACCGAAAGTCGAAACTACTTTGCTGAATTGGAGTAAGTAGAATTCTTGTATTGCTGCAAGCGCAACTCATGAAAACCTTTGAAGCACATGATCTAGAGAGAATTTCAAGTTTTGGTACTGATGGGCGCGTTGGCAAAGTTCACGAGGTGGAAACATTTTCTGTGTGTCTGCATTCGCTCGCTCCACACACGTTCACGAAATCATAAGAGAGCAAATTTCGTTTGCTCTGTAGTCTGGACATTGCTGCTATGTAGCAACTTGGTCAAGACCAGCGGCTACTCGCAAGTCAGCCACGAGCAAGAGCAGGCAGCAGTAGGTGCGTTCTCTCTTTCTTCGGAAGAGTCGCTGTCAGCGGAGGTGACCAAGCTTAGCTCCAGCAATCCAGAGCATGATGACCTAGGGAAATGTGACAAGTCAACATTCGTGGACGAGCAAGAATTGCGACTTCCGGAGACATCGGACTCTAGACATTCGGACTTTAAACTGGAATGTGGAGTTGGAGACGGAATTTTCAACGCCAACACACACGATCAGTACAATGTCTGTGGAGTTGCCCTGTTTCAGGGCAGAAGGCCGTCGCAGGAAGATCGAGCCGTTTGTTTATCGAGTTTATGTTTACTACTCTCTGGCAAGAATCACAGCCGTATTCTTTGTTGCAGTTTCTTCACCGCAATCGCTTGCTGCTTTTACCCCTTTCGTTACAAAATTGTGTTTGCGAAACTAGCGTCGTTAAAGTACGAACACTGGTTGTGACTAATGAACCGGAAAGCCGAGTTGTAACCTAAGGCTGCTAAATATATGTAATTTACGAGGTAAGTGTACACGCCCCATGCAGCTCGTTAGATTCCGTGCAAATTTCTGCTAAAGCTGGAAAAGACACGGCTTTGATTCCAATTATTTGCAAGAATGCAGCAATTTACAGCACCACTGCCGCTGTAGAGCTTTTGACAGGAGTCAAACTATGTGATACGTTTGTGATAAAAACTGTCTCACGTCTTGTTTCAGGGATCGAAAACATCACTGTGGGCCTTTACGCTGTTTTCGATGGTCATGGTGGACAAGAAGCCAGCACTTTTGCTGCTGAAGTTTTTCATCATCACTTTGTTGATCATTTTACCCAAATCATTGAGAGCAGTGACGTAGCTATGATAAGAGGCATCAAAGCGTCACAGAAAGAAGGAAAATGGACGAGTCAAGGAAGTTGGAGTCACGGTTCTCCCTCTCTCAAAGGAGATGCTAGTGCTGATGCATTCGAAGCGAGCAGCCTGTTTAGTGATGAAGATCCTGAGAGATTGTTACCATCGAAATCACCTCGGGATGCTCGGACAAATCAAGTGTACACGAGCATCAAACCTTCTGACATGGGCAGCAGTTTTGAAAATCGAGAAGTCCCTCACAAGAGCTCCGAGGGAGAAAGAGAACAACCAGGAGTTCTCAATGACGAAGCAAGGAGAGAGCTGATTCGAGAAGGTACAGCATGATAGCTCAGAAGTCGCTTCTCGCATCCCTGCTACATCCTTGATGGTAGCATATCTGACGTATGGGACCTGTTTACGTGGCTGGACTTCAGTCTTGGAAGATGGTCTTATCATCAGACGGATATTGGCAGAAGCACTGTCAAGGGCAGTGTTTTCCATCGACACTATGTTCTCGGTGGTGAGCTCTCTATTTAGATACATAGTGTCGCATGAAATAGTGGACTTAAAAATTCCTCTTCTAACAGTGTTCACTCTCGATTTAGTGCTCAAAGGAATGTCACTTACATCGCGACCTCTCTTAAGGTTCTTCTTTTGTAACTATCAGGACATTCGTCTCTTGTTTATTTGCTTATTGACTTCTTACTTTGAAAGCTTGCGTTGGGTTTTATCGAGCCTTCGAAATAATATATCTGTTTTACATACAGCATCACTGTCATTAGAGATGTATACAAAGTTTTGTATCTATGATCGAGGATGCATGGAGTTTGAGAACTTCGAGAGAATGACATATAGTCCTTGTTATATATCCCGCAGAGTAAGAAAGTCCAGATCGTCAGCAAACCTTCGGACATACTGCATTTAGCATGTATCCTGGTAGTTGAGGAACTTGTGTAATCGTATTTCTGCCCTTTCTTTATTTGTTCTAATGCTTCAAGTTTTTATGCCACAGACAGCAAGGCAGCTTGGTCTATTCAGCGGTAGTACAGCATGTATCGTCCTACAGGTGGAAGAAGATATACTGGTTGCTAATTTGGGTGATTCCAAAGCATTTTTCTGCGAACCCTCAGGCATGTGAACATACTTCATATCCTTGCATCATGTGGTCTCCCAAGTGCTTCTTGAGAGGTCTCCCCATTAAAGAGCTCCATCTATCTGTTTAATTAGATAGTGACAGTTTGCGAAGTGCCCGTATGATGCCCAACAGGTGGCTATCTGTTAAGAAACACTGTTGAAATGGTTATGGCCATGCAATCAGGTTTGATGTCATTCTTTTGAGGCTGAGACTGTCCTCCGCATCACTTGCTATTCATAGCAGCGTCAGTTCTTAGAAGGGCCTTGAATTGAAGTACGTGTTAAAAACAGATCCGAAGCTCAGCCTAAGTTGCTGTATGATTGATTCTGTTAAAACTTGGATGTCCATCTAGATTTCCCACTTGACATACTTGCATATATAGATTTAGTAAGTCCAAAGTCGTGCGTACTTTACAGGGAAAGTGTCTTGTGACCAAAAGCCTAATGGGAGGCGAAAGAGGAAGAGTGAACGTTCTAAGGCAGATTGCCAAACCGGATTAAGAGTTCGAGACCTTACACGTGATCACCGTCCAGATAGAGATGACGAGCGACAACGCATCGAGGGTGCTGGGGGATTTGTGACAACACATGGAGCTGTAGCCCGTGTCAATGGCAAATTGGCTGTTTCACGTTCAATAGGCGATGTTCACTTGAAAAGGTCTTGACCAGCGCATTTGTTTACTCAAGGGTTCTTTTCTTCCTACTTTTGAGAACGATTGATAGTAGAATATATAACTCAAAGACTGGTATTAAGTTTTAAAATGGATCAGACTTTCTCATTGTGTTGTGTTTTCTATGCCTTGAACCTTATGTACAATTGTGAGAGAGAGTCATTGCCTCATTCCAGTTTTACAATTCTGAGTCATACTCTACCTACGCAACTTGATTCATCAGATATGGAGTCATCGCCGATCCTGAATTTACCGGCTGGTTGAAGATCCCAAAGAGTCAAAGCTTTCTGACAATTGCATCTGATGGAGTCTTTGAGAAGTTGAACACGCAAAGTGTCTGCGACGTTCTATATGCTATCAATGCCAACGAAGATGTTTTCACTGTCTTAGGCCTGGAGAATTCAACCGCCGATGCAATCATTGCCATGCCTTCCATTGCCGAGCGTTTAAATGACTACTGGGGATCGGTCATCAGGTGATCTTGTGAACCCCAATTGAGTTTGTTTCTTCTCTTATTCCCGGTTGTTGACCACTGTTTCAAGTTGCCTGAAATGAGCACCAAGATTCCAAAACAGACCATATTCTGAGCTGAAACAAAAACTTCTGAAGCATTTACCTTTCGATGGTTCTCTGTTTCTCTCGAAATGGAAACAGCTAGGCTAAAAACCCTGCTTCTTAACAGGCAAGGTTCTTCACTTTCTGTGGGAGAGGGTATATGGGAGAGGGATTCTTCAAATCTTGGGAACTCCTCAGCTGCTCGAGAAGCAGGCGAGGGAAATCAAAAGGGAGCGGAAGGCACCGAGGAAAGGCTCGTCGTGAAGGCTCTGAGTTTGGTACAGTCGATGGCTGAAGCGGTTGGAGAGATGGCACTAAAGTTAGGTACAATGGATAATGTTGGGACGATTGTACTTTCCTTGAGGCCGCTGCCTGCTTTGTTGCCTGATCCGCATCTTGAAAAGACGACGAATGAGTCACAACGTTTGGCTGACGATCCACAAACCGGTGAGTGTAGAAATATATGAGAAATATGCTTTAGTTTTTGGCATCTTACTTCTTTCTTTATTCAAGACATCTTTTGAGGGCGAAGTTTGATAACGGTTTACGTCAGATCAGTTCAGCTTGATATAATTAAGAGCTCAGTACCTTGTTTGAAGCAAGCAGCGTCATTCTGACGGGTTCCAAATTGCATGGTTTTCGCAGTTATCGAGCTGTCGGATAGGAATACAGTGCAGGGGTTGCGCGACGAGGCAACCGTGGTGGAGGCTGTCATAGAGGCCGACTCTTTGATATCAAATGGTACTAGTTCTTCGAGAACATGGAGCAAGAGCCACAATCGAAATAAAACCTCTGTGGTCATGGTAATTGCTGGAACTTAGCATTGAAGTAGGTTTGGCATAGTAACCCTGCATTTGAAGGAAGGACGAAATCGTGAATCCTGTAATCAAGAGCTACTTTGTTTAGTAAGTTCTGGAATGACTTCAAACTGCAAAATCAGAACAAAATTAAGAGCTCTGGAATCTAATCTAAGCGCAAACATCTACGATCCGCTGAGGTAAACCGACTTCCTGACGACGAGACTTTATTTCACGCTGCAGACTCAAAACTTGGAAGCTTCTTATTGTTACGAGCTTATTGAATCACTTCCAAGACATGCTATCGTACCGCTTACGAACGTTGTAGAAGGTGGTACTGTACGTGAGGAGGATGAAGCAGGAAACAGAGAGGGCCTGCTAACGACTGATGTGTATTATACTGGCCCTGGGGGTGAGATAATCATACTCAACAACAATGTGATTTTGCTATTTCAATTCATTGCAGGATCGGAAAGAGGAGCAGTCATAATAACTATGGTGACACGATTGTCCGAGTGAGGCATTTGGACATAATTTTAAGAAAGTCATAATTTGATAGCATAATCTTGAAGGCGTTCATCGACGTTGTGGCTTAAACTTTGTTATGTAAGGAGAGAGATATTGTTCCGAGATTAGACTTATATTTCCGACTCATATGGGTGCTCTTCTAGATGAAATTGGATGATTTGGAAAACAATAAGAAGGTTATATTGCAGGAGGAGGAAGCGTCGAGCTTTATCGGGAACAGCTTGTTTGCACACCCAAACAAACTCATCAAAAGGAGATGAAGGAGCTGTGTAGGAGACCTGTTCGCCTGTCCCACTTTTTGGCTTTGATCGGTTCTGTTCCTCTCGACAGCCAGACCCTGCTTCCAGATACGGACATTCCCTCTGACCGTCCGGTCTTTGTGCCTTCTTCTACTCGTTATCACAGGTAGGATATCTCTACATTGCGTTTATGAGCAGAACATACGTGATTTTAACATCTAGCATTGTTCATCTTTTGAGGCTGATTTGGCTTTCTCCCAACTGGGTGCAGGTATATGTTGAAGAAAAATTTTGCTCGAGGAGCCTTCGGAGAAGTATGGCTGGCTGTACGAAGAGCACGTTCAGTACCTGACGGAGGTGACACCAACGAATTTTACAATAGTTCTTGCTCAGCAGGAGATGACAGATTTGAAACGACAGAGCAGAATAGGAATTACAAAGACGATAGAACAACATATGTTCTCAAGCGCATATTGGTAAATGTCGTATTTGCAAACAACCAAAAAGTGATCCAGCTGTCCACTATCTAGGGCCTGAAAAGAAAACGTATGAATGAATCTCTCATGAATCTGGTCCAGGCGTGAGTACATTTCTGTGAGTTTCGCTGAAATTGACCACCTCCTGTGTAAAACTGTTAAAGGAAGTGCTGAGTAGTTACTCCTCGACGCTAATGATATAGATTGTCCTTGGTCAGACGTATCACACAGTTGCCCTTGATAGGCCACATGGCTTCTCTTATGTTGTTGGCACTCGTTATTTCTGTCACATGTCAGATTGACATTCTAGATGTTCCTTCCTTAGCTCACTTGCGTGCTCAGCCAGTCAGCCACTTAAAATACACAGGAAAGAATTGATTCGCTTCAATCTTTAATTGCATTGCAGTAGTGCAATGCATGAGAGCAACAGGACCCAGAGAGAAGGCTCAGAAAATATGTCTGACCTCCTTCATGCACAGTTTTATAAAGTAAGCTGTACAGGCAAGTTCGGTTTGAGACACAGACCTGTGGTGCATCTTTGTTTCTGTTCGCCTAATTGAAATTCATAACTCCCGTGTCCTTTCTGGGCAACCTGAAACCTCAGATAGAGTTTGTGCAACACATACCCGTCTGCTCTATTAATACCTTCGGGTTTTTAGACCGTGTGAGCAATCTCGGGTCAATTTAACCATAATGTAGAATGCCAAATCGAAGAAGTGGAACGAATTCTTTCTTATGCTTGCTGAAAGGCTGTAAAGCGCGTTGTTGTGGTCGCCGACCATCGATCAGATAAGCGGCACCTTGTCTCATTAATCTGCATCTTGCTATGTAATCTTCACCTCCTGATGCTGCATGTCTGAACTCTTATCGATCAAGTAGAATGATAATCACTCGAGGCTAATATTCAGGTTTACTGATTGCAGGTTGAAAGGGGTAACCATGTCTATTTGAGTGGACTACGTGAGAAATACTTTGGTGAAATATTTCTGAATGCATCACTAGCAAGATCGAGAGCTTCGAAGTATTCAAGTTCATATTCCTGTGCACATTCGAATCCTTTCTCAATGTCCAGATTCGGATATTGTCCCTGGAGATTGAACCAGTCAAGGAGCTTCACAAGGCAGAACTCAGGATCACGTAGAACTGAAAACCCGAGGGGCTTTGATAGGTGTAATATTGGACCAACCATTTCTGAAGAAGGTGTCGAGTATATAGCTCGGTATGTAGAATCTCTCGAAGTTATAGGGCCGAGAGAGTTATGGCTAGTTTTTAAGAACGAAGGAAAGTCGTTGTCAAGTCTTCTGTATTCGACCGAAGGAGCGGAGGTGGAGTCAGGAATGGAGGGCGCCGAAGGATTCTTCACAGTAGTTCAGCCATCACCATGGTGGCACTGGTTAAAAAGCACCCCGGCTGGGCAAAAGGAGATGCGAAGCATTTTGCGACAGTTGGTACGTTCACTCCCTTTCGCACAACTGGTTCGGGCAGGCTGGTAAGAGATTCTTCTAAGCATTTCCAGCAAGTGGAGGAATTTTTTTTTGGAAAGCATAACTTCGTAGGAAGCTAAAAAGACTGTGAACGTGATAACTGTAAACCCTTCAGTTCCTTCACTTTCTTGCTATCCAATTCCGTTTCTCTGAAGGGAATGAATTACAGGTTTGTTTTGATACTGGAAAGGTAATTGTCGATTGTTCTACACATTGACACGAGCATGTTTAGCTTTCATTTATCTTTAAGCATTGTGCCACTTTTTGGTAACTTACTGATATTTTGGGATTTTGGGAACTGGTTGGAAAGTGCAGCTTTTGGCGGTCAAAGCTTGTCACTCTCGTAATATCACTCACCGAGATATTAAACCAGGTAGCTCTCTGTAATTATGGATCCAACGTAGATCCAATAGATGTTTCCAACGTCCATGCCCTCTCTTCTTCGATTTGTAATTGATTGAAAACTTACGTGATTTGGGTCCTAATGATACGTATTTCACTGGAATGTTTCTTCTTGATCGTCACTGTAACTTGAGTTTGCAATATTGCAAACGCCAGTCCGACTGCGTTTCAGGCGAAATTATCTGTCCTCCCCTGTTTCGCCGCTATCCCCTGTTTTCCGCCTTCGTGGCTAATGTCACTCAGAAATCAGAGGCCGGGTGGGTTCTTCTGTGTCTCTAATGAGCGTCACCTCCATCTCAAGTCCGACTGCGTTTCAGGCGAAATTATCTGTCCTCCCCTGTTTCGCCGTTATCCCCTGTTTTCCGCCTTCGCGGCCAATGTCACTTAAATACAGAAGTCGGGTGAGTTCTTCTGTGTCTCTGTTTCTTTCTCAATCGGGTGTGACTAATGAGCGTCACCTCCATCTCAAGTCCGACTGCGTTTCAGGCGAAATTATCTGTCCTCCCCTGTTTCGCCGCTATCCCCTGTTTTCCGCCTTCGTGGCCAATGTCACTCAAAAACCAGAAGTCGGGTGAGTTCTTCTGTGTCTCTATTCTTTCTCATCGGTTGTGAGGGATGAGCGTCACCTCCATCTCAAGTCCCACTGCTTTCCAGGCCAAACTATCTGTCCTCCCCTGTTTCGCCGCCATCCCCTGTTTTCCGCCTTCGTGATTTCTGAGTGACATTAGTGTCACTCAGTAATCAGAGGTCGGTGGTTTCTTTCTGTCTCTATTCTTTCGCATTGCGAGCTCTCCAGTAATTGATCATGCCTCAAGAACATTACTTTCCTCTCAAGCTTATCCTAGCTCTGTGTGACGCAATGTGCGCTTGTTTTCCCCTGTTTTTCCCCTTCGTCGCGGTTGTCACTCGGAAGTCACTCGCCTCACCACTGACTGCTGGGAGTTTGAATGAATGGAAATTAGAGAGGAATGTTACCTTTAGCCCACATTTTCGTCCTTCAAAGTGTAGCAATCCGTTTGTCAGCTCGCTTTTTCCTGTTAATCCCCCTCTTGGCATTGGCCACCTCTATGTCCGAGGAGGAGTGTTTCTTCTTGATCGTCACTGTAACTTTTTTGCAATTTAGCAACGCAGTCATCGTAATCATGGTAGTACTAATTTCAAGTTTCTTTGGATTCTCTTACAGAAAACATGATCGTTTCATGGAAAGGTTCCCAGGGCGGTAGCCATCCATCAAAGTTAAAGCTGTAAGGAGCTTCCACCTGTTATCTGACTTATTTTGCTTTTCTTTCTATGGTTCTTACGTTTACGATTCTGTCGTCGTAGTTGCCTATCGTAATGATCAAAAAGCAAAACGAATATGCATGCATAAGAGATTGAGAGCAAAGACGAGAGTAAATGTAAGGTGAGAGCAAGTTTATATGTTTTCGATGCCTCAGGCTTTTAAGGAAGAGAGAGATGACTAATTAAAATGCAGGACTTGGACCTCCTTATTTTATCAAGAATACATACTATGTCAATTTGTGCACTTCCGTAATTTGAGAAACTAAGCCAGATGACAAACCTATCATGCTTCAAGCTTTTCAAATATTGACTCGCAATAAAACTTCGTGCATGTATTAGCGAATTATTTCCTAGCAGAATTTTTCCTAACTTCGAACGTCTACATCTTTTATTGTTCCTTATAACATGCAGGTGCACGTCAAAATGCGTGGTCATTTCTTCACCCCCTGATGCCTACTGAATAGAGAGCACTCTGATGGTCAGAGTGTATACCTTATGTCCTTCCTTCTCCTTTTCAACTTCTGTTAGCAGTTATCTCTGAATAATTTGCTGAACTAAGATCACAATACTCTGTACTTCATTTGACTGTTGTTCTGAAAGAGGCGGTTAGAATGCATACTGCTAGGATGGTCAGAAGTACCACAGATCTTAATTGCTATCTACTGACCTCACCTGACCTCAATCGATTTTTTTCAGAAATGATACTTCTACACTCAAAAAGTTCTTCACAATTCCGTGCTGAGAAGTCATATATGACCTTTATAACCATGTCTTGAGGATTAGTCTGTCAGTGAGAGGACAGCAGCCTAGAATACAATGTAAAACATCCGTCACTGTATCAATCCTTTTTCTTGGAGACAAGAAACCCTTTATCTGAAGCTGCCTTTAGAGAACACCTCGTCGCAAATCACTCTAAAGCCTCAGTGTTGAAATCGTAGTTTTGTGCCAGTAATTCCCGTTTCAATTGCTGTTTTGGTTTTTTAAATTCTTTTCAAGGAGTACAGTTGTTGCGCAAGTGGAAAGTAAGCGTTCTTTTGACGTATATGACATTCTATTTCAAACCCTACATGCTATTTATTCCCTGGTGGGGGATCTTGTGACAAAAAATACCTTCATAAAAAGAACCTCGTCTCTTCGTGTTTCCTATTCAGTTCACGTCATCTTGGATGCATTTTTTTCCAACCATGCTGAGCGCCAGAGAGAAATTAGAGTTAGAAGTTGTTGACGTGCTATTAAAATATAACCTGAAATACAAATCTTCAGTAATGCAACATGCACTGTTTGTACACATGAAACTACTGAAAAAAATACTTTGTGCAACCCCTTCAATTCGGAGAGTATGTAGGTGGAGGTGTGTTCCAAAAGGTCACTTCGTTCAGCGTGATCGACTGGTGATGAAAAAGAGCCCGGATGGAACCTCTCCGTTAGCAGCCCATGTGATACGTGCGAGCAAATTGCCTGAACCCATGCATTAGAGGAATATGATCTTAATCGTCCCAAGACTCGGCGGTGGTATATGTTGGTCCTTTCTAACAAGTTTGTCTCTTTGCAGGAGACTAATCGACTTTGGAAGCGCTCTTGACCCGTTCACCGTAAAGCATCTTTATGGGCCTTCTGGTCCTTCTCGGTAGGCCTAGCCAACATAATTGTCCTAAAATTTCGTTCACTGTTAGTAATCATGCTCTTCATCTTGATGGTTTGTGGAACTAGTTTTCTGAAGCTTTCTCCTTCAGCATGTTCTAACTTGTGGGTTGTGGGTAAATCCTGCAGCTTAGAGCAGACAAATGAATACGCTCCACCGGAGGCTTTGCTGGGCAACCATTGGCTTTATTTTCATTCGCAGCATGCTCATGTGTGAGTGCATCGATCCGTGGATTTTCACTTATTAGAAAGGTCTGGGACTCTACTAAAACTGTGAAGCAGACATTTGAAGACACCTATAAACGCAAAAGTTTTCACAGCATAGTCCTAAAACAAAGTCTTATGATGTTGATAAATGCAGCTATGACATGTGGAGTGTGGGAGTGGTGATGTTGGAACTTGTTCTTGGTACGCCTCATGTATTTCAAATCAGTTCAAGAACACGTGCGCTGCTTGACCGTCGGCTGCAAGGATGGGATCAATCCGCGAAAGAAACAGCTTACATGTGGGTTTATAAGTTGGTGTTTCAACGGCATTTCCTCACCAATCTTTTCACCCTTTAATAAGATTATAATTACGTCCAAGAAAGGACTCTTTGTTGCTGTCTTCAAGCGCTGTGATTCAGTGAGTCCAACTGTCCGAATATTTACGATCTTGATTCTTGACCTTTTATTGTGCTTTCACCTGCTTGAACGCAAAACCTCCAGGCTGCGTGCGTTCATGGAGATGTGCATCCTTCTTCCGGGCATATCCTCACACCATCAGTTTCATCACCAGCGGGACAATTTGGACAACTCGGTAACTGGATTCTAGAAATTAGCGTGAAAGATTCACTGTATGATTCAGCTCTCTTAACTTTGTCAGAAAAGAAATGTCTTCTAAGTTGATTTTTGGTATCTTGCTGATCAGGAGGAACAGCGATTGGCATCTTGGGAGTGCACGGAACAGGCGTTTTTGGAGCAAATAAAGCAGAGAGATATTTTGGGAATAGGGTTTGTGTCCTTAAATCTTCTCTGACTGATTATGATGACCACTACTGTGGTCCAGTAGATTCCTGCCTGGCGCTGGCTCTCCCTGGTTGTATGTCATTCGGGTTGTAGTTATCGATGCACTTCAGAACTGACTTTTCGAATTGTGCCATGTCGTAGGCAAGAAGTTTGCTACTGAGCCTGAATATCTCACCGCGGTTACTTTCTTGTGGACAGGATGCCAGATAAGTGGGCCCTTCGTCTTGTTCGTCGCCTCCTGCAGTGGTACCCGGTAAAGCCCAACGAAACTCACGTCATTTATTCAGTCTTTTGTTGAATCTTTTGGGTTGCTGATAAGACATAAGGAGAGTTATTCCTACATAGTTTCCTCACGGAAAATCGTTATAGAGCAGACATGCATGGAAGGAAGGATGAGAAACACGGAAGCGATGTTACAGAATTCACCGATTACTGAATTTATTGGTCTATACAGGAGGATCGGATTTCCGCAGAAGACTCACTGAAGCATCCTTATTTCCACCCTGAACTGCAAACCGACTAGAACCAGGTAATTTGGCTCTTCTCCTTTGAGGATCAACCAATAGCATGAAAAGTTATACCTACTAGTCAATTTTCCTTTCGTCCCAGAAGCAATGAAAGGAACCGAGTCCTGATCTGATTTGCATTTCAAATATATTCGCAGCAAAGAGGAGATTCAAGGGCTTTGGATTCGCTAAGAATGTCATCCTTCTTTGAGCTGGAAACTTATCATTAAGATCACGTCAAAACAATGTTATCTGGCTGATAGACAATCTAATGAAGACTTTTGAGATGATTCTCATTGAAACAAATTATATGGCGCTGTATCTGTCCGCAAAGCTATGGATGGGAAAAACTTAACCTGGAACTTGGTCAAACTTGAGATTGTGTGCCCAAAGAAATTTTTTTGTAAGACTATTGTCTCCACGTTTTATCCAAATGTCTAATTGCATAATGATGAACAGTGGATATGTTTTGGTTTACTATCTTTACACACTATAAACCTATAAACTATAAGTCCTGAGGAAGTTTATAGACACATATGAAACGAGTACTGTCCATTAGCGAGAAAGAAACATCGAATATAGGCATATGGAAATACATGCTTTGAGAGGGTGTTACTATGATCCGCAACTGAGGCACCTTCAAATGAGTGACCCAATTATCTTTATTCATCCAATTTATTGTTCTTATCTGGACCCTAGTGATGCTAAACAACTTTACCAGTCACTTCGAATGTGGATTAATAATAATATTTCTGAAAAGTAAACCAAAAAAAACTTAAACCAAAATTGTCTGAGCAAAGCTAGGGGTAAAGTCGTTTTCGATACAAAGTTGTTCGACACTGAAAAATCACGATAGAAACTTTGTACCAATTGAACATCTGCTGAATATTCGGTGTCGCAAATCTCAATATTGTGAACGAAATTTAAAATCAGTATATACACAAGCATGGAAGACACAAAATAATCAAAAGTAAAGCTGTAATGTATAGCAAATAATATTATAGATGGGTATTATTTAAAACTAATTTAAATAAGAAATAGTTTTGATATTGGTAAATACAGCTGACGCGTATGATTATGAATAAAGAATCATATTAACTTAGGTGTGTAACACCTAAAATTTAAATAGATGGAACTAGAATGTCAATGTATTCTACTCTGTTAGAAATCCTTGATAGTATAAATTTTTGAATTCAAAATAGTACAAAAAACTAAAGATGTGTACTAGAGCTGCTTATATTCAATGTTAAAATTTCGGCTTAAAAAATTCTTAACTTCAATCAACATTCAATCACAGCTGATTAATGACAACGCTTTTTATATTAACGTATGATTATATTCATGTATCATAAATTTGCTAAAGTTGTAGTATCATAGAAACTTCTACAATTTTATTAACATGGAGAGATGCTTGAATGATTTTGGATAACTTAGGGGGAGTAATGCATACATTGCTGCCGTCAAGGTGTTGATGATATAAGTGAGAAATGGCAAAATGACTACCATAAGTGGAGTCTCGAAACTGATGGATGCAAGACCCCAGTTGAGAGTCATGCGCAAGGGGAGGAATAGCGGAGAAAGCGGATTCTTTAAACAAAGAATTCAATGAGATGATGTTGAGCGAATTGATGTCATGGGATGTTTCAAGGCTCGCACACTCATGAAAACACTAACCGAAGAAGACTTGTGCATGCGCTTGTGAGTGGTGCATAATCGCACAGACGGAATGATGATCATGGAAGAACTCAAACAAATGCGCCAAAAGGAAATCGTCTGGCTGCACATACGGAGGCTAGGACGTAATGATGATGAGCGTAGGGTTGAGCCCGGAGACGGGATTCCACGCAGCTGACAGGTCAAAGATACTGGAGTGACCTCGGAGAGACGAATGTGGGAAAGCCATTTGTGACAGGGCGTACGAGCGAATGGGCACGGGAGGCGGCGTAGTGGTTCCTTAACGGAACAGGTCCGAAGTACGAGGCGAGGGACGAAGGGGCCAGGGCTGGTGGTATTGATCAACGCGGCAGGCGACGATCATTAAATCTGTCTTAATTGCAAACTAACGCGTTCGGGGATGGCCACTGCGTCGCTATATCCACGGGCCCCACATCGCGATCCGCGCAAAGCGGGTCGTAATGCGCCGGCGCGCTGCTGATAGGGCCGAATGAGTCATCGCCCGCGCGCCAATCAGAGCCAGGCCAATATTCCGATCATCGCTTTTTCTCATCCACGGCCATTTGACCGTCGTCCTACGTGGCCGCCCCTCCACGTCACTCCGGACGTGGTAGTTACTGCCGCTAACGGCCACCTCGTGACGCCGAAGCGCTGCAGCCGTTAGGGTTTGTGGCCCCGTCCAGCTGCCCTCGCTCCACTCGCTCGCCCTCCGTGACCGCGACCTCCTGCCCTGCTCTCCATCCTTCCTCCGTCCCGACTCCTCCCCCATCCCGTCCCCTCCGTCCGTCCCATCCCATCCGTCCGTCTGCCTGCAACTCTGCCCGCCTGCCAGTCAGTGAGTGAAGCAGCGATCCGTGCGGGGATAACGAGCCCGCACCCCCCCCCCCCCCCCCCCCATCCTACCTCCGTCATTATTTAATCGACGCGAAATGATATGCAATGAACCAGCCCCCGACGGGGGCCGACTGACGGGGCTACGCCGCCCGCCTATCACAGCCCGAACTCTAGTCTAGATTTTCGCCTCCTCCCCCTCACGTCGTCGGTCGCCCGCCGCTCTACTACGTCGAGCCCTACCGCGTAGGAGATACAGTACGCCCTGACCCGGTTCCGGTTGCAGTCCCGGTGGGCACAATTTCTCGAGGATTAGGCTTCCTTCTTGCGCCGGGGACTGGGGCTGGGGCAGGGGCTGGGGGCTGTTCCCCGGTGGGTGCAGCGGAGCGTACAATAGGACGAAGCCGCTACGGTCCGCTCTTCTTCTTCTTCTTCTTCGTCTTCGGCTTCTGACCTCTACCGTCTCTCTCTTGCTCGTCTTCTTCCTCTTCTTCTTCTCATTCTCCTCCATCATCCGCTTCTTCTTCGGCTGCGGTGTCGTCGACGCCTTTTAATCGGCTGCGCTCCTTATTTGTGCTCTCAGCCCGAGCCTCTGCAACTGCGCCCGTCCGTCCTGCTCTTCGCCTGTCTTCGCTCTTCTGATCGAGACGAGAGATCTCGGCCCCGGGGCAAGAATCACAGCGGACTGTGATCCGCAGCTTCGAGTCGACTGCCTGCTGCCTCTGCGCACTTCGGCCGCGGTGGTTTCGATTTTTCTGCAGGTACCCTCGTCTTCGCTCGTTCGCTCGGTGCTCGTGACCTAGCAGCAATAGCAGCAGGAGTTGCTGCTGCAGGACGAGCACGAAGTCGGCGATTTTCGGAGTTCGTTCCGACTCTGTTTTCGTGTCAGTCGTGGAGCTGCGTTTGGTTTTGAACTTTTGTTCCTCTGCAGGGATTTCGCGGTGAGCGAGCTCGGCAGCGTGCGGCGTACTTCGTGCTCTCGGATCCAGCAAATTGTCGGAGATGAATCGCAAGCCGGGCGATTGGAACTGCCCCTCGTGCCAGCATTTGAATTTCAGCAGGCGCGATACTTGCCAGCGGTGCAGCGATGCGAGGCCCGGCGGAGGGATGGGAGGTGTGGGCCGCGCTGATGGAGGAGGGGATTACGGGAGCTACGGCAGTCGGGGAGGTGGCTCATACGGATTCGGATCAGGGTATGGCAGCGGAGGAGGAGGTGGCGGCGATTACGGTAGGAGTTACGGGGGAAGTTTCGGATTCGGTGCTAGCTCTGACTCGGGTGTAAGGCCCGGCGATTGGTACTGCCCCGCTAGTGGTTGCGGGGCGCACAATTTCGCGAGTCGAAGCAATTGCTTCAAGTGCGGTGTGTTCAAGGAGGAGTCCGCCAGTGGAGGCGTGGGTTTGTCGCAGGGTTACGACGGTGGCAGCAGGGGCAGCAGGGGCAGCTTTGGATTCGGCTCTTCTTACAGCGCCGGAGGAGCGGGTCCCGGAGCTGGTGTAGGAGCCCGTCAGGGTTGGAAATCTGGCGATTGGATTTGTGGGAGGTACGTCATTTCTGCTGCCTTCAACTTAGTCCACTCGGTCTCTTCTCCCCTGCTTCACCTGTTCTTCGCCTGTGGCAAATGTTTCGAAAGTCTTCCGCCTTGGGTTTTCCCCTTCCTTGCATCACATCGTCACATTCCGGTGTAATTGGATATGGGTGAGGAACGCCTACTGCAACTCAATCACGTCTCCGTTCATGTTGAAGGAATTCTCCCTCCCCTGTTTTCCGAAGTCGTGGTGATCGTTACCCGGCAGTCTTGGGTTCCTTTGTGTCTACATTTTTTCTCATCGCTTGTGATTGATGAGTGTCACCTCCATCTCAAGTCCGACTTCGTTTCAGGCGAAGCCATGTATCCTACCCTGTTTTGCCGCTATCCCCTGTTTTCCGCCATCGTCTCCCATGGTACTAAAAATCCAGAGGTCGGGTGACTTCTTCTGTCTCTATTACTCATCGGTCGTGATTGATGAGCGTCACCTCCATCTCATGTCCGACTGCGTTTCAGGCGAAATTGTCTGTCCTCCCCTGTTTCGCCGCTATCCCCTGTTTTCATCCTTCGTGGCTAACGTCATTCGAAAATCAAAAGTCAGGTGAATCCTGTGTCTCCGTTCTTTCTCATCGCGTGTGACTAATGGGCGTCACCTCCATCTCAAGTCCGATTGCGTTTCAGGCGAAATTATCTGTCCTCCCCTGTTTCGTCGTTATCCCCTGTTTTCCGCCTTTGTGGCTAATGTCTCTCGAAAATCGAAGGCCGAGTGAGTTTTACTGTGTCTATAGTCTTCATTGGTTGTAATTAATGAGCGTCACCTCCATCTGATGTCCTACTGCGTTTCAGGCGAAGCAATTTGTTCTCCCCTGTTTTCCGCCTCCGTGATTTCTTAGAGACTTAAGCGTCGCTCTGAAATCAGAGGTCGGTGGGTTATTTGTCTTTCGCATTGCGAACTCCAAGAATTGATCATGCCTCAGAAACATCACTGTACTCTCGAACTTATCCTCGCTGTGTAACGCAATGTGCGCTTGTTTTCCCCGTCGTCTTGGTTGTCTTTCGGAAGTCACTCGCCTTGCCTAGTAGTTTGAATGAATGGAAATTAGACAGGAATGTTACCTCTAGCCCACATTTGTGTCCTTGAAAGTGTCGCAGTCTGTTTGTCAGCCCGCTTTCTCCACTCCTCGGACAACGGGCCTCGGCCCGTTGTCCGAGGAGGTGTGGGATCTTCCCTGCTTGGAGAATTTGGACGGAAAGAGTGATTGTGCGGGACTTAGTTGTTTCTCTCAAACAACTTATCCTCCCCTGTTTTGCCACTAGTTCCTGTTATTTCTCGTCGTGGCGATCAACCTATTAATTTGAGGCGGGTTGGGTTCTGCCTTGCCTTTGTCCCACCCATTACGAGAGGGAGTGACCGATTGTGCGGAAGGAGATCATCTCTCATCTCTACTTCGTTGTGAAGGAATCTTTCCTCGGTGTTGCCTCTTTCTCTTGATGATAGTTGTCTCCCGAAAAGTCAGATGCGGGTTGAGTTCTCCCTTCATTACACCTTTCAGTGATGAGTCGTCTAAGAGGATGTTCGTGAGGTACTTCCATCTCCACCTTAATTTCGTCTTCGTTCCTCTCAGAATTGTCTGTCCTCCCCTGTTCTAACGTTTTGCCTGGACATCGCCTCTGCTAGTTTTCGACCGAATGCTTAAGTCGGTTGGGATGTTCGCCGTAGTCTCTAGTGATGTGCAGGAGGGATGTGGTTGCTTCAGGTATATCATTTCTGCTCTTTATTTATTGTTCCACATTTCTTGTGAAAATCGAAGTCTACCCTGTTTCACCTCTCTTCCGCTGTATTGCCAGTAGTTTCCTGCATGTCGGGGCGGGTTGGATTTTTTCATCCCTGGTGATGTGATCATCACGAGCGAATAGTGATTAGATGTGTGGGAGTTACTTCTCGGCTAGGTCGGCTAGGTTTGAATCCATGTCCCCCCCTGCTTTTCACTTTCGCGGCACTCGTCATCCGAACGCCGAATTGGAGATTTGTTTTGGAATGAACGTCGTCTCTTCATTTCCGACAGTCTAGCTCCGTTGTGGAGAACCGGTCTCCCCTGTTTCCTCTGTTTTATGGATCGTTGGCACTTGCATTGAGTTAAGAGGGCAGTCCCTGCCTTGCACTTTATCTTGAGCAGCGGGAATTCTTGGATGTGGCCGATGTACGTCACACGTCCCTCAGATCCCGTCCACGTTCTTGTTATTGTCTTAACTTCCTCTGGCTCTCGCCTTCGTGGCAGTGGCAGATCTTAATCAAAGTTAAGATTCAAAAGCAGATGAAATTTGTCCTCCTTGCAACTTTCTGTTATTGTTAGGAGTATACGTCTTAAACTGTGAGATGTGCATTATTTTCGGTCCTTAATTTCGTCTCCTTTAACGAAGCTGTATCTTCCTCTGTTCCTCGCGTCTTCCCCTGTTTCCCGCCTTCCTTGCACTGATCTGCCGCAGATCTGAGGTGGATAGGATCGTTCGATTGTAACGAACACGATGTGAGTCAGCCGTTTGTGTGATCTGTTGTCCACTTTCTGAGGATTGTTCTTCATATCGGCAGGTCAGGATGTAACGAGCATAATTTTGCCAGCCGCATGGAGTGTTATCGATGCAACGCACCACGTGAATCAGGTGCGAGCCGATTTTGACAAACCTGAAATGTCGTTTTGAATGGCGATGGAATGTAATTTGGAGTTGAAAGATTACTGTGCATCATGAATTCATGTGAAAATTCACCCTGCATTGTGGATTCAGGTGCCGAAGGTCTGGTTCTCCATTAAGCAGTTGGTTTTAACGCCTCCTGCCGATTTCCAGGTACTGCGATGTGATCGAAAGGGTGGATGGGGAGCCAGGGGTATTATTAGTGCAGAAGTCAGACAGACAGACGAGGGATGGTTGTAATTTTGGATTGTGAAGGAAGGTGGTTCGGATAGGATTGTAAGATTTTCTCGGACGGTGGACATTTACTCGCCGTATTGGACCTGGTGGAAGGTGAAGGTGACTGGTGCGTCCCTTTTGGTACTTAGGAGCATTTTGCATAGTTTGTAAGTCAGTGCCCTTGCCATTGTAGAAGGAGAAGAGCTCCAGCGGCCAGCGGGCTTGTAAGAAATTTTGGATTTGGTCTCGCTGTATGGCAGCTTTGAGCGAACGTACTTGAGACCTCTGATATGCCTTATCGTAGTGACATGTAGCCTGAACACCCTTGGCTCGATTCCTAGGGTTTTTTGTTACTGTTTGTGTATATGGGCTACTTTCATCGGATGATATGAAAAATTCCATATCTTCTTGTTCACTTCTCCTGCTGTTTACTGGCCCGCTCCATGATGCAGAATGGACGTATGTGGTTTGGAATCAGGACTATTTCAAGATGTATGTCAATCTGAAGTTGCAATTTACCAAAATAGGTAGAACCTGTTCCTGCCATCGACTGCTGCATAAATCATAACCATCTACTACACTACATCGCGTTATGAGGAGAATGCCGGTCGAGTAATACAAAATCGACGGATGAACTATCGATAGTGAAGGGAAAGATGAATGTGTTTATTGATATTGTTTTACAACTGTGAAGTGAAAAATTTGGAGGTGAATCATTTGTAGCGTAAGGAAAGAGAAATGGAAAGAAGGTATAATGATGTGAGAAATGTGAAGTGAAAATGTGGAGAAAAGATTGGAAAAGAAATTGGAAATAACAAAGGACAAATAACAAGAAATATGAAAAAAAGGTGAAAATATGTTAACCAACTGTGAAAGAGGAAAGAGAAAAGCTAAAATAACAAAAAATTACTTACGGTGAAAAGTATACGAAAAGTTAACATTTCGAACAAGCCAATATATGTACTTCAATCCAGAAGATGAAAAATATCTCAATACTTGCAAAATAAGAAGAGAGAAAAAGTCAGACAAATACATATCGAGGTAAAGAAGAGAAAATTCGCTAGTAGCTAAACAAAGTAATATAATATATCAACAGCCGGAAAGAAAAAGAAGTATGGAACGTATATCAAATAGGAAATGGTAAATGATGCAGTGCTCATCGTCGGCATGGGAAAGGCGGATGGCGTACACGCAGTAAGAGATGAGTGGCTCGTGGCGCAGTTGGGGAGAAAACTGTGGCGGGAGTAAAACGTAGTTCAGATACGTATATCAAACAATGAAGAGGTAATCGTCGGCACGGGAACGGCGGACGGCGTACACGCAGTAAGGGATGAGTGGCTCGTGGCGCAGTTGGGGAGAAAACGTAGTTCATGTGATGGTGGACGACGAAGAGCTCATGTGATCGACGTCGAGCGAGAGCGAGAGAGCAGGAGGAAGAGAAATCGAGAAGAAGAAATGATGGAAACACATTTGATGTCGAATCAAATGCTGCGCTGCGCCCAATTCGGGCCTGCAACGCAGCTTCTATCGACGCGCAGATTCTCTCGCGGCACATGGATCGTCGGGCTTCGATCGGGGAGCAGGAGGCCGAATGATGGAGGAGGCTTGAGGGCCGGAGGCGCCAATGGCGACGACGGCGAGCAGAGCGAGAGCAAAGGGCAGCAATTGTGGCGGAAGGAGCTGCAGTCGTCGAACGAGCTGGGCCTCTTCGACGACGAGAAGCTGCAGAATTCCGAACTGCAAAAGGACATCGAGAGATTAGCGAAGAAGGAGGAGGTGGAGCGCATTCTGAAGCGGCCTTACAACGAGGACGCGCCGGCCGCGGCGGGCGAGGGAGGCGCGCTCCTGAGCGTGGTCGAGAAGATTTTGGTGGCGGACTTTTTCTTCATCCTCTTCATCCTCGCGTGGCTCGTGGCCGCGGTGGCCGAGCAATCTTTCCTGGATTCGACGAAGCTTATCGACTCGTGGCTTCCGCTCTGGCCTTCTCTGTTCCAACCCGCTCTGGGCCTTTTCATGGCCGGGGCTATCGTGTCGGCAGTGGCCAAGAAGAAAGATCCATGATGCGCAATTCCTCTGCTTTCGTGTCTTCTTCTTCCTTTGCGGTGTCAGATTACATTATCCTATCCTCGCAAAGGTGTTCTGAATTCTGTTTCAGTTTCCACGAATCATTCCTCTTCTCGATACTTCGATTCTTGCAGTGACGACCATCGTTGTCTGCGCGTCCACTTTGGGATTGCTTTTCTGCCACTGCTTGGATTCTGTACAGGCCCCAATCTAACGACCGACCAATGTTGTCACTGTGTGAGCGATTTGGGTCTTCTCAGAAACATGCTGAACATGATGTTCTCGCATCATTCTTGTATCACGTAGGATTATTGGACATAGTGGTGAATTCGACCTGCACTAAATTACACCTGATCATTTTTGGAACATGAAGGATTATTAGACATAGTGGTGGAATCGACCTGCACTAAACTACACCTGATCTCAACGTGGCAGCAAGTGTTGTAGGAAGGTTTCACTGCAGAGGAGCAGTTGCAGGTTCTATCACTGACCCATGAGTTGTAGGGAAGCAGGAGTGTTCAAGTGTGCAACAGTTGACCGAGATGTTCTTACCGAACACAAGTAATTTTTGTCTTGGGTTTGTGATTCTCAATTATAATTTGGTAAATGCAATTGTGTACCAAATTTACTCGTCAATTTTTGTTCTTTTGTCACAGAAGTTATCACGGGATGGACTTTCTCTCGTCTCGTCCAGGAGCAGTAAGAGTGTCCAAAATTGAAATACTTGCGTGCAGTTAAATGTCAGGATAAGTATCGGGGGTTTGTGGCATGCTGATTTTTTCTCTCTTCAAGTTGAAGTTTGAATGTTCAAGACTTAAGTGTTTACTCTCAGCTTATATTGAGGATAACGTTGGATATACCATGGTATGCAATTTGTACTTTCTTCCGGCGTCGTTTCTATTCAGGGGAATGTTGTAAGTTTAAAATGCTATGTGATTTTCATTTCTTTCATCGAGCAGCAGGAGTGCTGATAGTTGAAGTATTTTCGCTCAAGTCATATTCAGTACATTTTTGGATGTATCTTGGTTTGGAACTGTCTCCTCTCTCCAAGCAGCAACTGGCGTAGTAGAAATTGAGGTAGTATCATTTTAATTTTATTCAGGACAATGTGGGAAACATCTTGTCATGTGATTTTGTCCAATCTTCAACAGCAATAGGATTGTTGTGGATACTGCGGCGCTTGTAGAAATTTCCGCACAAAAATGTGAATGTATCCTATTCAGTGTGCATGATTCTTTTGTCATGAACGTACAAAGTTGATACGATTTGTCTGCGTAAAGTTGAAAATAAGTTTTGACGTAATTTTTTTTACTGCGTAGTTATAACTTTTCAAATAGTGTTTGAATATCATGCATATGTTGTACCATTTCACAAACTTATGAGAGCTCAGAAGTTTCTTCTCGATGGAATTTGGCGACTAAGTGTCGAATTATCATTATTCTCCCGAGTACTCTGGGCCATTATGAAAACCATGTCACAACTGAGGTATAAGCTTCTTATGCCTAAGTTGTAATTCTGTCTACATAGTACAAACTATTCACATGGTAGTCACTGTGTACTTTCTCGCACACTGAACCAATTATTATACAAATCTCTCCCTCTAGACAATCAGAGGTTCGCATGTTCTACCTCCTCTACAACCTGCTGGCAATTCTACTATTTCTTGCAATTGTCATTGTCTATTCTATTGCCTATTGCAAAATGTGAACAATCTGTACAATGCTCATTGTGAGCAAAGATGGATACTTCAATTCGTTTCTACCTAAATCAATTGACTTTCACGGCTAGACAATCCTCCTCCTCTCACATGACTGGCCTCACTTACTATCCTAGTGTCCCGATTCCTAGCTCTTCACTTGACGTTACAAGTGCTTCGTCCAGGATGTGTTCTATTGGGTCAAAACAATCATTTGACCATGTCATCACATTGGAGCTGTGAATGGCATGCAGCTTTTGTATCCAATTCTCAGATCCTCACCCTTCTTACTCCATCGTCCCCAAAACCTCCTTCTTCACGTCATCCTCTTTCCACAGTATGCGAACTTTAACAAAAGCATCTGGTTCGATGAGGCATTCGTTCTACCAACCGACGCTTACGCATCGTCAGAAAGTAACATAATTTCGATTTCTTCCAATGACCTACCCTTCGTCTCCATTACGTTCTTTCTTACAAAAAGCGCAGCTGATACACAAACGGCCGCAAAGAAAGAATACACAACACTCGCACCCAGTTGCTGCAGAAGTTGTAAGAAGAATAAACCGACCATGAAGTTTACTACCTGTAGTACAAAAAAGATTGGAGTCAACATCCACTTTACATCATTTCATTTTTTATCAACGGGTTGTGAGTGTGATCTGTTCATACTAAGTCAACTCAATATGGACAAACTTACCCAATGAACACACATCGTCACGGACATGGCTTTAGCTCTAATACGATTCGCGAAAAGTTCAGGCAGCAGTAATGCTGGGACAGGTCCTGCTCCAAGAGCAAACATGAACACATATCTGCGCAATAACAGAAAAGTTAGATGATTCTTCCTCCCTAAACGCTCATTTTGCCCATTAAAAAGGAGACAAGGTAATAAGTGAGAGAAGGATGAAACTCACGATAAGGTGGCTGTGAGTGATAATACACCCTGGTAAGGAGCTAGAACGGTAAGTCCAGCAGCGGCTGCTTGCAAACTCATAGCGCATGCCTGTTGCAACAACAAAGCAGTGTTCAGCACAGGTAACAGTATCAAAAATTCGTGTATCTTTACTTTCACCTCCCCTTCTCTATCCTCTTCCCACAGTTTGTTACTGGTAGCACAGCTCGGCGAGAAAACAAGAGAGATGTGCTGGTAATTACAATATACTAGACCAATTCTGGGTCTTACCATACTATCAAGTATCTTATATTAATCTTATTCAGCCTATGCGAGCTAATTCATGTCCATCAAGCACATGCAAACTTACCATTCCAGTAAAACTCCAGATCATAAGGTTCCGCCTTCCTTGTTTATCCATGAGAAAAGTAGCCACGCAAGATGCTGTAAACCAAATCAACGGCCATTGAGAGACTGAGCGTTAACTTCCATGGATGCAAAGATAACAACAACTATGTAGATGAACAATACCATCGTCGAATGTAATAGGATTTACTCACCTATAAGATTTACGACACCCATGGAAACACTCGCCGCGATGTTTGAAGTTACTCCAGCGTTTTTAAATACAACCGATGAGAAATAAAACACGGCGTTAATTCCGGCAAGTTGTTGAAACCCGAACAGGGCAGCACCGATAGCGACAACTGCAATGCCACAAATAAATACTTTCAGTACTACGTCGAAATCTGGAACATTAACTGTTCTCCTTCAATCGTCCATGCTAACGCTAAGAAAAAAAACAGACGGGATTTTCGACGGTACAAAGCATCCGAGTGCCGATGCGAACACCAATTTTCCAGAACTATATCAACATAAAGCTGAATAGTATATGGTAATAGATCAAGCCCCTGGGACCCAAGGGTCAAAAGGCTGAAAAACACAATACAAACAACCCAACGCCAACCAGACAATGTCATATGTACAATCTCAGAAGTAAAACTTATAGAAAAAAAGCCGTGACAAAGAACATAATTGATGATAATAAGAAAGTGGCAAACCTTTCAAATATTTTCGGTCAAGAAGTGCACCCCACGAGGCTTCCCCAGAGTCTTCCCTCTCCTCACCACGAACGAGGTCTGCCATTGCAGTCTTCGAATGTTGATTGCCCAAAAGTCTTTCCAACTCGTGCTCAGCTTCCAACCATTTCGAATTCTAAATTCATGCACAAATTTGAATTTTTAACTTAGATATGACAATGTCAAGCGATATTTAACACATGATTATTCACGCCCCCATTTGACACAGAAGATGTAGTTCACAGAGGTAAAGCAGTCAATTGAAGGCTGTTCAACCAGATCGAGAGTGAGTGTAGACCTTGAAGAGCCAGCGTGGACTTTCTGCGCAATATTCCATCCCTAACGCTAGAAGTGCAGCTGGAATTGTAGAGATCCAAAAACAAGCTCTCCACCTGAAAAATTATAGAAAATAGTGAAAATATAAGAATGCCGGCTTCGTAATCAAAACACTTTAACCTGACCAAATAGATACTCTGTACTTGATTTAAGCTCGAGGTGCAACAATCGTAAAAACCAAGAGTCAACAGTTCCATACGCCCATACAGTCGATATACGTACCAGCCAGGAATAGATGTCACAGGAAGCCCAACTAGAATTGCTCCCAAAATTCCTACGCACGTTGCAACTTGGATCAAACTTCCATACGTGCCCCGAACAGCTGTAGGAGAGATCTGCACTATCCCAATTAAAAGAATGAGCTTCAACGTTCTTGCGATAGATCAGATCGAACTTATACCCGCAACAACTCATCGACCAAGTGCATGACGTACCTCGGAAACGTATAAGGCTGCGACCGGTCCAGCGATTCCTAACCCAATACCCACAAAAAGGCGGCCAAGTAGCATAATCGGGAGAGATGGGGCAAGAGCGCTGCATACAAATTTAGGACAACATGTTAGGCGAGAAGCCCGAAACCATTACTAAGTCGAAAGCTTCGAGACATTACATCTGGAGAAGGAAAATATCTATCAACCTTACGTGAACGCGCAAGTGGTTACAATTTCATTATCTATGTCAACAGAAAATGATTCGACCGGCATTGCTCAGCAGATGGAGATAATTACCTTAAAATAGATCCTAGAATCATTGGCACCGAGCTGATTTGGAAAGCTCTCTTCCTCCCGTACTTATCAGCGACTGATCCGCTGGTGGAACATCCGGCAAACGCTCCGATCAGACACGCACTTACAACGGAACCTGCGCAGAAATTCGCAATCTGTCTCAGGGAGAATTCTACTTAGCGAGTCCATTTCGTCCATATCGTCTGTCACAAATAAAGTATCTCTTTAAGCAACGAATAAAGAGGAAGGAGATCAAGCACCTTGAGCCAACGCATTTCCTGCGAATCCGAGATCGTATGCTATGTAATCCAAGGGAACATTCACAACTCTGCGAAGAGATGAGATGTTAGCCACGAAAAACTGGAAGTACCACATGGGACCGATTGAAGCCCATTCTCTAGGAAATATTAAGATAACATTAGAACGGAAGACTATGGTTCAAGGGCACCAAAGTTGGTTCGGCGAGAAATCCATGCTAATTTCCATCCAATTCTGGGAGACTGTGTTCCTCTCCCCGGGTCGCTGAACTTAAATTGCCCTGTTGCGGCCCATACTCCTCTCGGAAGACCCAAGAAAACGAAAGACCAGATTCAAGAAACTTACCCTAAATGGTAGCCAAAGAGTATTGAAGCAATTGTGGCAACGCACACGTGAGGCAGAGACAGCTGCCAAGGTGGATTCGTAGAGACATACTCCGGAACCTCGTAAGCCAGGTATGCTGCAATACAATGCAAGATCACAGATTGTCAGCCAATTTTGTCTCGTTCCGTCCGACGCCGCCGGGACCGCAAATTCTAGAATGCAAACCAAAAATGAACCACAACTCGAACTTGTGCATGGGATTCTACGATCAAAGCAGGGATCGTCAGGGCATTCTGGAATGGAGAAAAGGGAGGGCAGAATCGCACCGGCTGCAGCTCGAACTCGTTCAGCTTCCGTGGTCATTTCGCGACTCGGGAAGCGCTTGTAAGGATTATCGGCCATCGGACGAGACCTCATCGGCCACCACTGGGCGACGTCGTCGCGGAACAGGGGAAAGGCAAGAGTCCCGTCACCGTCAGGCTTGGGTTCTTCCGCCCGGCCCTGATGAGCGCCCACGGTCACCGAAATGTGCTTCGAGGGCAGAATTGGCGAGCGCGGAGAGAAGGACCTGCCACCACCACCTCCACCACCGCCCACGGCAGACGCCCACGAGGGCCGAGGCAGACGCGAGAACGACGAGGGCCGAGAAGGCGTCGTCGAGGGCGAGGGCGAGGCAGGCACGAATGCCAGAGCCGAGCCGACGCTGCTGCCTGAAGTAAGCAGCGGCGGACAGCAGGCGGTGCTGGTGCTGGTGCTGGAGGCAGAGGTGGTGGAGAAGGGCGCGGCGGTCGGAGCTGCTGCTGCGGCGGTCGAATGTGCTTGCGCTTGAGATCCCACCCCTGCCAGAGATCGCAAGTTCATGATGTCGGACGGCGAGGCAAATCCGCGAGCTCTCTAGAAAACAAGGCGTGATTGTTCTCCCCTGCCCTCCTCCTCCTCCTCCTGCTCCGACTCCTGCTCCCTTCACCTCCCCTTGCAGAGCAGGTGCTGCTGCTGCTGATGACGATGTACTGCGCCGTGCTTGCTCCTGCCGTTGCTTTCGCTTGAAACAAGCGTTTGCTAATAAAATAAAATACAGCGGAAAAGAAATTCAGCTTTTCGCGGGCAGATTCCAGAGCTGCTGCGGGAAGATGGGAAGAAGAATGAGGAAGGAAGAGGATAGATGGTGCGGCCGATGATGATATGAGGATGATGGCGCATGGGCACCGATGTTGCCCTCGATGTCGTCGTTGTTGTGGGAGGGTTGACTGAGGAGAAGGGGAGCAGCATGCCTGCGCTTTGTGCTGCGCCAGGGGTGGGGGCGGAGGGCCAGCAGCGGGCGCCAAGTGGCAGACACCACCGGGCGCAGAGCCCGCCGCGTGGACTCGGCGCCACGTTGCGTCGCAACCGAATCGTGTGCGCCTTCCATTAGCTCGGGGCGACGGCCGTGGCCCGAACGGAGTCACCATCCGTCCCCATCCCATCCGTCGCGGTGTCAGAGGTCCCGGTTCCCGGTCCGCCGGTCCGCACCAGCTGTTGATCCCAGAGCCTCTGAATATCTGCTGCCCGCAGATATTCCCTTGAGCCGTGGTCGCGGCAGACAAGGACACCGGCAGCTGCGACCATCGCCGGCACCGGGACCGCAAGTCGGGTCGCCGGGACGGCGACGGTTTCTCCCCCGTCGTCGTCGTCGTCGTCCGGGGCTGGCGTGGAGCTCACACGTGGCGAGGAGTCTGACTGGACCGGAGCCCAGCTAGCGGTCGGTTGCGCGTGGCTATAAAGCGGGCCTATCTCCATCATTGCGCCGGGGCATGGCATGGCATGGCATCGCACGGCGCGGGGGGGTCCAATTTGGCAAGGCGTCATGACACGACATTGGGATTCTCGTCGGTCGTTCGAGGGCGAGGGCGGGGCGGAATTGGGCGAGTTGGGCGAATTCGCTTTCGCTCTCAGCCGCTCACGAGCTGCGGACTTGTGGCACGGGAGCAAGCTCGGTTGGATTCTGCGGTTTGGTTCGTGGCGAGGTGCTGAGAGCTGCGGCGGTGGTGGCTTTAATCCGTGGTCAGCTTCGCGGGTGGAGGTCGCACGATGAAGAAGCGCGGTCGTCCTCCTGTTGCCGACCGCGAGAGAGATCTTTAGAGCCAGGCTTTGCAGAAGCCCATCGCCGCACCGCTTCTCGTTGCTGCTAGGGCCGTCGCGGAGGCAGCGCTTCGCTTTTGCCTAGGCCGGCCTTGCTTCCTTCTCTCGCCACGACCATATTCGTGTTGAATTCTGTATCGAGGTTTCGGTGTCGCTTTTCTCTCTCCCGGTTTTGTGATGACTCATTTGCAAATATCTTGCCGAGCCCCGAGCCCCAGTTCCAGATTTCTCAGAGGTTGGTGTGGCGTGTCACGAGGTCTGATGAAGAGCCATAAGCTGCTGTCGTTTTTCCATATGTGACGGTCTTTCGAAGGGATTAGGAGATATGGATGGATCCCCTTCGTCAATCGCTACCTCCCCTGTGGGATCGCCCGTGAGACCCCGTTATGTGCTGGATCCCGACAACCTCAAGCACTTTATGCAGTCGACTCCTTTCACCGAGCAGGAGATTATCAATCTGCACAAGAGGTTTCACGTAATACTTTACTCTTCTGTCTTATCTTCCACAATTCAGAGTTCAATGTCACCAGATAAACTTGCTAACTGGCTGAGTCGTTACTACTGGCTAGTACTCATCCCTCCATTCGTGCACTGTGCATCTGATCACTGCAAATGGTTGAGCGACATTTGAGTCGTCCAGATGGCCTGAGAGAAGATCCACACTCACTCTTCAGACCGACGACTGCAAACAGCAATATAGTCTCGCCTGCCTCCGGTCGGGCTCTAGGAATGCGTATGCCTGAGATATGACACGAGATCCAGAGAGAAGGGAGAGGGTTTTTAACATTGCAGTATTTTGTATGACTCAGCTTGCGACCCAGGATTATGGGGATGAGCATTCGAGACAGATTATGTGTGTTGCACATAACATCATGGCTCTCATACTCTCAATTCCCAATCGAAAGTGAGGTTGGAGGTGGGAGATTTGCGTAACAAGGTGTCAGAGCTTACATTCAAAATACCTCGGTTGTCACCCGATTTCCCCTAAGCCAATTGAATATGTGACTCACAGCGGCCAAAGCTTGGACTAGTCGAAGACGCTCTCCGTAGTCAGGCGTGGGACGCTCGTTAGTGTAAGAATGGCATGCGGGAGTATGTTTTAGTTTCTTATTGGTGACAGGTAGGTAAGTGACCAATGCATAATCTTTAATAGTTGCGAGCATAGTTGCCTGTACAATGACCTGCTGAATTTTCGTTCCAGCTGCTCCGTATTCGCCTGCCTCTGTCGCGGTAGTGGAGATTCAGTTTGGCACACTTCGCCTATGCACCCTGCGTGTTCTCATTACCCACTCCTCGCACAGGATTCCTTCCTTTACTCCATTCTGACTGCAAGGTGCACAACGCATATCATTGCTTCCCCTACTGTTTTTCAAACAGTAAGTGAAGCGAAGTTCAAACACGCCCACATTCCACACGGGAAAGAAGCTTTAATCCTAGATCCGCGGTGAAGATGGTATTTTCTCCGTAACGTATGCAACTATAACCGGTTCCTCTCGAGAAGACAGCAAGACCACCTTAAGACCACCTTAACGCTTGTAAATCACACTAGCTCTTACTTAGATTTTTACCCATGGTGAGAAAGAATCCTACTTGCAACTAGGATGCTACTAGTACTAGTCTTATTCCTACCCCATCCCATGGTTTCATCATCGTACGACGTATAGGGTCTTTCCATTCTGCAGAATATATTTGCTTGGTTCCACCATTCCTGTTTACTAAAACCACGAGCCGTGGACCCGACCCTCTTTCTCCACTGGAAAAGTCCGAATGTTTGGTCGGATGGAAGCCTTCATGTGTAAATAGAGGGGGGGAAAAGGCACATAATTGAAGTCGAAAACTTTGTACCGACCTTGATTATCTCGAACACATGGAGGAGCAGATTTTGGTAAAACCTTCACGCACACAACATGGCTGACCAATGTCCAATGCCCTCCGTAGCTTCCTGATTGTTGGGTCTACAAAAGACAGACGGGAGGAACAAGCTGTGGTCAATTTGAGTTTGGTACGAGAATAAACCTACTTTCCGTCAGTCCATAAATACTCACCAGATACGTGCTAGACGGTCGTACAGAGGAGTAGAGTAGAATCTGTACGAAATGTGCGCAGGTATAAAGACATAACTTTACGACAAGTACGTCAGCGAGAAAGGGCGGGCATGTACGCAGTGCAGGGAAGGACTTGACTAGCTAGGTCGAAAGTGCCGATATGATGGCCCAGCTAACTCCCTATTCATGGAATGACTGCAGGAACTCAGTCGGGATGGCCTCGACAGAATTTTGCACGACGAGCTCATTCAAGTCGAACAAATGCGAGCCAACCCTTTCGCCTCGAGAATATGCGAGCTATTCAGCGAAGACGGCTCGGGCGTGCTTACTTTTGAAAACTTCCTGAACATGATGGCCGTGTTTTCTTTCCATACCCGCCCGGAAGTGAAGATGGTGTGGGCTTTCGCCATGTGGGACTTTGATGGAGACGATGTCATTGGTCCGGGTACAGTCTTACTCCCTTCCCTCCCCTTCCATCCCCTCCTCTTCACTGGACTGTACTGGAAGGGCCTGGACTGGCCTCTCTCCATGGTTGCAATCTTTGTAGCGAATATCTCGACGAGACTGGTTTGTCTTCATCGGATGAGCTGACGAGAGCAGATCTGATGCTTTGGCGTAGATAGCGAAGCGTAGGCAACATCGGGCAAAGTGCCAACATGAGGATGAAAAGTAGACTTTGGAGCAGGAGACATGCCGCAGCAAACACTTGTGCCATGATATCGGATCTTGAGCTCACACTTTTGGTGATGATCGCTCGCACTGGAACATGAAAAGAGTGCTTTTGTTAACGAAGTCCCAAGTCACTCCACCCAAAGGCCCTTGCAGCTGTAGGGCCCTTCCACTTTTGTCAGGTGGACCTAGAGGACTGTAAATATACTGTAATTGATTAAGAGACTGGTACAGTCTGCATTCCAGCATTGAGCGGAGACAAGCCGGCGGCTGCATGCATGTCGCTCCGATGCTGTCCACACCGATCCAAGTTTCGGACCCAGTGATGGATGCCTGATATGTGTCCATGGTGTATGGCGGCCTCATATTGCCCTTGTCAATTGTCCTCTGGAAGACGGAGCCTTGTATACGCTAGGTCAAGTCAAATCAGGTCATGCTTGCAGTGACTCCTAAGAGATAGAAGGATCGTCGTGAAGAAGAAGATCAGAGCAGACCAGATAGAATCATTAACGTGGCCACTCACTAAACTAGCACTCAAGTTACAATTCTGTTGATCGGCCATTCTCCACCAGTTTAATTTATGATTATTACTTGCAAATCTGTGTACAAATACAGTAACTAAAATAGATGACAGTCTATATGCAGGTGACGTGAGATACGGATTGAATCTGATCACCTGCTCCGGAGTTGCCCTCAATCCAAGTCTGAAGATGCTGACTCGAGTTCCTTCTGCAGCAGGCTTGGAAGACCATGAATTGGACGGCATAGTAAGAGAGGTTGTTAAAGAAGTGGATCCCGATGGTTATGGTCTAGGATATCATGAGTTTCGAGCAGTTCTGTCTCGGATGCCCGATTTCATCAACAACTTTCGTATGTCGTTCTGGTGAGCTTATTGCGTTGCACTTGTCCGGCTAGTTCTCACAGGTCATGGCATGGTCCTGTGAGTTTTGCAGTTGTTTAGCCGTAGTACCTGCCCTGTACAAGCTAGGAAGCTTATCAAAATGGGAATCTGTTACATTTTGAGGTCTCCTCTTTGGTCAGTGAAAACAAAATAATCTGGCAGCTGGAACGTGAAGGTCGTACGAAACCTTCGCCTCCTTTATAAACAAGTATTGTGATACAGCTAGCAATTAGTTACAGCTAAGGCCGCTGTAGCAGATTGCGCTCAGAAAAAGACAACTCCAATCATGGACGAAAACAATCCAATATAGAGCGTTAACATTCAGCTGGTCTTGAGTTTACTCCATTGTCTGTTAAGAACTAGTGCTGGAGCTTCGTTTCCACCAGTGTTCCTTTCTGACATGTGCTCGCAAACGCATGAATTTTTACAATATATTTGAATCCTGTAGACGTACAGAAGTAGCTGCGGCGGAATCTGATTTACAAGGGAAATAAGGAGGAGGAAAAGTAATTATACGCAAGTTTACGAGCTTACAGTATCACGAAAAGCTCCAATGTTCTCCGGGTACGATAAATTAAGCATCTCACGTAAAGATCGTGGTGGGCTGGCCAACAGTATGGAACACAATCTCACCATCGACACGACCTATTAACTTAAACGGTTATGCGTGCTTAAGGGCATGGGATGAAGATTACTGTATGCTAGACCTGTATCCAACATAACCTCACCAACGACACGAACTATTCACTTAGCTATACTCCATGCTTAAGCGCATGGAATCAACATAACTGTATGCTATACCTTAACACGAGGATGGTCTCTTATCGCGTTAAATGGCTTCTTTTGGAGCCTCTACAAAGTGCTATGTTTGACATTTTTGCAAAGCAGGGCATGCATCTACGTATGCGTCCTCTACTTCAACGGGCAAAAGTCGAAGACGTGATCTTGATCTCGAAATTGTGAAATTCTTTCGAGAAGTAGCCTTCTTGACTGCAGCCTAGCAAGAGGAAGCTGCTGTGTTGGGGATGTGTGCTTCTTTATTGAGCAACTGCACGGCCAGCCGACACAAGACGAAGACGATAGCAATGATGCTGTCAGAATTCATTATAGCATTATTTCCAAATGTCAACGAAATGCAGGTCATTCGAAGCTTACAATGTTGAATTAAAGTACGTGTGTTTATACTGACTCAAAGCTGCAGCTTCTAAAAGATTACTCTGGTTATAGACGCTTAAACTTACGCAATCTGAAAGTGTTCCGCAGCAATACCTCCAATGTCCTACTGAATCGAGCCCTGACTCCTGCTATAAATTCTCGGGTGCTTGTCACTGGCCCTGGCTGTTTCCAAACGTTTTATAAAATCAGATCGAATTGAGGCGATGACTTCTACGGTAGGGCAGATCCGATTGAAAAATTATTGCCAAAAATAGCGAAAGAAAAAAGCTATCATAGCAGGGAAAGATTGGATAAAGTACTTGTATCAATGATGTGTGGCCTTTCTCGCCTAGTTTGACGTCAGATGTTCCCACAATATTTCCGTAGGTATTTGCAACACCTGCCGAGGTTAAACCAAAGAATTTCATTTGACGACTTTAGGAGTTCAAATTATCTATGAATCATGTTACGCTTCTGAAGAGGCAACTCGGTATTACTTACATTGGTGCGTATTACTAATATCTCTCACTGCTTGAGACTTGATTGCTTTCGAGGCTGGAACCCCGGTACAAGCGTCACCTGTTCACAGAATGAGAAGAAAATCAGCAGCCAAAATGCAGTGTTTCAGCTAGACTTGATACATGAACGACACTAACCTAGAGTGGTGGGGAATACTATTAGTACTCACGAGGACTGTCTTGAAATTTCTCAGAAAGTGACCATGCACGCTCGTTGCATTTGGGCCGTATGCTTTCCACCGATGTGCATGTGGACAAATGATCGTAATTATCATGTTGTCGTGGATCTTTGGTGGTGCATGGCGACCCAAATATCAGGCTTTCACGTTGCGATAGCTCCCCTGTTGTGCATGCCGCTGTATGTTGTTTAAAGTCATTTCGTGAGAGGTCTCTGAAATCGCTACGATGCACAAGTTTTTGATTCTGCTTCTGAAAACCACACCCTTGTATGAGTCAGGAAGTAACAGAGAACAGTGTCAAAACACACAACAACTGAGAGCTTGGATTTCAAATCCTCATAGACGATTAAACCGTAGACTTCATCTGCAACTTCAGACGTGTACTGTACCTTACTACTCACGACACTTTCGAGGCTCTGAACGCGTCCCTCGAGGCCAACGAGTTTCTCCTGCACTAAGTCAAAACAAAAATACCCAAAAGGATGCTGAATGCCTTAGAAGATGGAGTGATTTCGCGGCGGACATGATCAGTTTTCAGACTACACACACGCACGTTTTTGAGAAGCAGTCTACGCTGAAAATCATGTCCATGTACCTGGAGGGTTTCTTTCGCTCGTGTAACACCATCTTCCAGGGTGCTAAATCGAGCTTCCAGTTTGTCCGCCATGTCCATCTGTACCGTGCATGTGTAAATCCTACTGTATAATGATCGACTCGAAGAGTAGGAACATATCTGTAAGGAAGAAAAATGAAGACCTTCTTTTGCATGGCATTTTGATTGCACTCACAATCCTCTGACATATTTCTGACTCCCCTTCGGAGAGTTCACTTGCTGCTGGATGTGGAACTTCGGCTGAATTTTGTAGAGACATGACAAATTTCTTGGCTTTGGGTTGCAGTTTCTTGGCGCGCATGCGACTGGCTAATTCCCAAGATTTTTTCTGCTTCAGTAAATGCCACATGTAAGAAAAGGCACCGTCATACTCAAAAACCGTTTGAACGTCCGGCGCGGGACTTTCCTTTTGGAAGCAAGCGAGTCAAGTCCAGTTTCGGACCTAAACCTCAGATGCAAACCGAGCCGATAGAGGAATGGACATCTCCTCGACGACTTAGAGACTCGGACTAGATTCCCCTTTCTCTGACCTCAAACAGCGACAGTGCGTAGCAAAGTAAGGTGTAAATGCATAGAAAGTGTTCATAGGTTACAGAAGATGCTCACATCGCTGTCCTCAGTGCATAAACCATGCTGGTTATGCACAACATTACTGTCAGAATTCGGAGCCCGTGGCGATGTGGGTTCTGGAACTGGAAGAACTGTTATGTCTACTAGCTGGCATTCTGCATCCTGGACAACAGACAAGACCAAAGCCTCTTAGTTCCTTGGAGCCGCGAAAAGGAATGATTATCTATCCTTGATGGTTGATAGAACTTCTGGACAGGAAATAAGTACCTTGGAGCATCTAACAGGATTCTTAGACGACCTCAAGGTATGTTCCCAAGGCTTCGGTTCGTAAAATGGTAAACGATCAACAGCTTGAACCTGCATCCATTGGTCGAGTAGTTACTCCCATCAACCTTTGACTCTTCTATCGCTAACCTGCTTCCTTGTAATTGCACCTCAGTATCGAAACACTTAAATGGGATGGCATATTAGCAGATTTCACAGTTCATTAGATTTTGTTCAGCGAAGAGATTTGATGCTTGATTCTAGAACTCAACCTCACATGCCCGGGGATTCTTCACCTTCGCATTTCCAAGGCCGCAGCCTGGCATTGTTTCATAGTTGATCTGTGTCAGCTCCGTCTGCCAATTTGTTTACAAGCACACAACCAGTCAAGGCTTGAGAGGGGACATCAAATTACTTAGTAATGCACGATCAGCATGCGACTTTGAGAATAGATTGCCCTCGATCTTGTCTCGATCTCGTTTTCTCCAAACAAGGTAAGAGAATAACCTTATCAATCGTTTTCTCGCGACCAAGCTTCAATAGTTCATTGTGTTTTCTCTTCGTCATCTGTATGGTTCCATGACAGTTGTAGTTCGATGAGCTTCACCCTCGTCAGCAACCTTCTGCTGAATCTGATGTCAGGAAGTTGGGCACTCAAGAGCTACAGCCGCTAACAGAAGAGAATCTTATGAACGCAAGTCCAAAGTTGGTAACTGGTGAGAGGAGCTTTAATTTCGATAAGGACGTTTACAGATCTCAGGCACGGTTTCTTCACTGGAGTCTGCGTATCAGTCTTCCAAAGTTAAGGATGAATCAAAATTAAGGATGAATCGGTTTTAGTAACGCCAGCTCTGCACGTGAGGTCATTCTTATAGCACGTAGCTTTATGTGTAGAGAGGCGAATATGAGGCCTTGGGGTCGCGCACCTGTACTGCGTCGTAGATGAAAATCATTTTCCTCTCTGCATAACCTCTTGAAAACATCTGCTCAATTGTGCAAAATCGGCAAGAATCACAAATGTCGCAGTGGCACTGGTCTTTCATAGGTTATTACAGCTGCTGAACCTTTTACTTCAGAGGACTTCTTTTATAGCAGCCAAACTCGATTTTCAGCTGGACGGCCCAGAAAAAAATAATGTCTTCCGCATTCATAGGGATGACGTTTTGAGTTACTGGAAAAGAACTTGTTGAAAGAATATCCTCTAGCACAGAAAACTTTTTCGCTTTCGTAAAGTTATAATGTTTCCTGTTTTGAACGTAGATCGAACTTGTGCTAGATAGATAATACCAGCCCAAGTAAAACTGAGTAACTGCACTACTTATATGGGTGATCTTGTTTTGTACATTTCGATTTCCTCCAATGTTGCGTAGCCATGGGTTTGGGCGTAACAGGAGGTATGCGACTTTGAAGGTACCTGAGCGATTGTCAGAGCGCACCGATAATTAAACTCATGTCTGAAAAATTTCAATGCGCTCTCCATGAAACGCTGAAGGAAACGACAAAGAAGAACGTTCAAGTTAACACGACGGAGCCGTTTGCTTGTGGATAGTCCAAGTTCATAATGCAACCTAAAACACGCATGACAATGAAGGTGTTACCAAATCACTCTTGGCGTAGAGCTCGTAGCCGTTTGCCGATAGATAACGCGCGACATGTCGGGAGTATCCAAGAAGTGCATAATGCAGAAGAGGCAATACCACTGCCGGAATGCCCTGTTTCAAGCTGACCACAGATCGAACATCAAAGATTCTGATCCAAGCTGCTCGCCGGAGGGGAAAAAAACAAGACTCAAAAGACTGCACAGTCAAAAACTCGTCTATCGCCGAACCGAGACAACCATTGAAGGATTCAAGGAAGCTTTGTGAACTCAATCCTCAAGAGCTGAATCCACTCTTCCTTCAGGGCAAAGCATCAGTTGGACAGTCACATCCGAAAGTTCTTGGACTCGCGAATCTGTCCAGAGGTGGGAAGATCTCATACCCTTGCACGTCGAAGGGATGAGGATAATTCACGGAGAGAAGCTGCGTGCGCAGGCGCTCCAAGTTACCACGCAGATCGCCCGTGGCCATCAAGACCGACAGTCGCGATACTCAGAGAATGCGACCAGAATGCGGCGAAGGGCACGGGAGAAACCATAGATCGAGCTTGCTGCCGCGCACGGCCATCGCTCGTTTGAACTTTGAAATACGGGGACGCTACAAGAAGTTTGAACGTGCCGTCGATCCGGCAAGAAAACTGGAGCGGGGTTCGGGGATCCCGCGGGGGCGGGAAGCGTCGTCACTGCGTGAACGACCCGCTGGCGCCGTAGGCTGGAGAGTGTAGTAGGTGCTGCGTTTCTCCCTTCCTCCCTCGACATTCCGTCCTGGCTTTCTCCCATATCCTTCCTGCCACGTGTTTACTTTCCGTCCTGACGACGTGTGCGCCAGGTCACGACGACCTGCCATGTGTGCGCGGGACGCAGTTTGCAGGCTGCGTTCCTCCGGCCTCGTTCTTTAATGCCAGATGAAGCACGTCCACGTGTATTTCCTGTCTCCTGTAGATTATTATTCAGAGCATATCGATGTGGGAGTTGTTCCTTCGCCATGACTGTTATCCAATAAATTAGCACATCATATCCAAAACGTTGTAAGTGAACACCTTAACCCTAGAAACCAGCCAAATACCACCTGGCTGCGGTAGGACATGGATTGCTACACCCGGACCTCACCGCTTTTTCACTTGATTGGAACCCAGACTTTCCATAGGGACTTCCGTGGACCCTACTTTTGTAGAATGTATTGGTTAGACCACAGTTTGGACTTTGGCTTAATGCGAATATTAAAAATATCACAATACTGTGAGATTCTCATTTCTATATTATGAGATTTGATTGTCAAGCACTAAAACACAATTATGTTTAAATTTTGTTGATTTAGTGCTTGAAAATTCATATTTTAACGATCACGATAGAGAATATATGTAGTCTAGGAAAATATATGTAGTCACTGAAGAGTCCTAACAAAAGAAAATGATGAAATACAATATCTATCCACTATATAGAGTGATAGTATTTACATAGAGAATTGGTTATATGAAAGTGAAAGTCAAATAGAGAGTATAGAACCTCAACTGTAAACTAATCTCCTTAGCATCAAAGATAATGTAGTATAAAACATCAAGAAATGAGATTCAATTTTTTAGTCATCTCTTATTGTTGATGGAACAAATCTTATTAGATTGAGCTGAACAAGTAAAGTAGATATGTTTTGGAGGACTTGATTATTCGAATGAAAATGCATGCAGAAAAGTTTAATGTATCTAGATTTAGTGCATGTAATGCAATATTGGTTAATATCCATCACAATTAAACAATCAAAGTCATAATTTAAAAGTAGCTAAGAATCGTGATTCAAATACTATCCTTGAGCTTCCTATTGTGTATAAAATCAACTAGTAACAGCATATCCTATGCAAAAAAAATTTATTACATTACAATATTATTTTACTCTATGCAACTATGGTGTCTTCACATACAACAACACTTGTCTTATACTAACATGTAAAATTTCATGAAGTCAAAATAGTGCAATTACGTTACTCTCATGTTATATTCTATATCTTGTTTGACACATATTGCTCATATCCAGTTGATTGCTATCAAGTTGCCATATCCAATTAAAAGCGTGCTTAGATGATGATATCAGAGAAATCGTCTCATTCTTTAATTGCATTAACATCACTTGGAGCTATATACGAGTCTACTTATTGGTGTCAATGTATCTTATCCTTTTGCCACCATCAATGGATGAACCTTAGCCCGAGCAGTCAAGATATCATAACCAATTTAGATATTTGAAGATTCAAAAGTATGGTAGAGCGTGTAAAGAACCTCTCATGTCAGTAACTCTATTTTCCATACTGATAGTTGTACTGAGTAAAATAATGACAATACTGATGCTTGTCGAACCCTATGTATCCTCCAGCCTACTTACTCGTTACTAAACTCCTTTCCTTAGCCTTAATTGGTGGCAGCCTTATCAGTTGCTTAATCGAAGCAACGCGGTAAAATATCGGCGAACAGAATGATCCGTCCGTCCGATGTTTATAGCTCCGTCTAGGTGTTTACGCTGATTGGTGGCATTAGAGTCTTATGATCATAATCAATAATGAACTTTACTTTTCCTTCAGATTGAGCAATAAATAATGGAAAGTTTTGATGAAACAAAGTGGAGGATAATAATAATTACGCATTTTTATGTAAAAATAAAGACATATTTTCCATCACATGCGAAGTAAGATTATGGTTCACCAATTTTGCATCTGTTTGTCTTCATAAGTGATTTTAAACCTAGAGAATTGATTGATTCATTATACAAATTCAATACTTAATTAACTTTTCAAAAGTACAGGTGCATATTGATGTTTTTATAAATATTTCAATCTCTCTTTGATTAGTTGTTGGGTGATTAGTAATCAGAGAAACAGTTGTAAAAAGTTCATTATAGAATAATTTTTTAGAAGAAATGGATGAATTATTTCTAAGTAAGCTTATGTAATATACTGGTTCAGTTTAAAAAACGTAAATTGTTTATGATAAACAATTCAGAGAGAAAAAATTTCAAAAAATATGTGAGTTGTACATATCATATGATGTGTATATTTATGTATGATTACAGTGTTTGATTATGTTGACATAAGGTAAATAAAAGAAATAACGAGATAAGTTGAGTTACGAATTATTGTTTTGATGGAACAACAATCTCCAATCAAATTGGTTAGATTGTATATATACTTTCAATATCAAATAAGTCATTTTAGATATATTATTTGTTTGGGCTTATATTTCATTAATGTTAGTGAAACTGGTAGCCGTTTTCTAGTTCGAAATAAATTTTCAGGATTTTTTTTCAATCAAAGAAAATTCATGACATCTAAAATTATAATGATTAGAGTCCGAAAAGCTTAGAGGAGAAAATTATCAATTTCTTCGTAAATATGATAAAGTTGTCATGCGTGTCACATCCCGATATGTATTCAATCGGCATCTCCTATCACGCTAGATAAATATCACACAGGAACAAATGTTCACAATATTAAGCCCACAATACAAACTTTACTTCTTTGGCTTTCCCACCGAACGACATTTGTAATGTAAGGAAGAGAAGTGTCCTTTGGAGGCTGTTATCCAATCCATATATGAACCTCGCATGTTGACATCAGGCAGTCATACTGAAGAAACAGGGGCTTCGCCAGATTAGCGTCTCAAGTACACAAGTGTATACGTAACGGAATTTGGATGGACTGGAGAGCGTCATCTCTGTATTCTTGGTGATCAATCAATCGGCCTCTGTAGAATGGCATTGACCACCGACTTGCAACTTCCAAAACTGCGAGAGATGCACAACAAAATGTCGGTTTCGTCGAGACTCCGCAGGAGTTCCAGTGCTTGGCTACCACAGAGTACCTAGCAATTGGAGACCGTTGCTTGAGCAATTACAACATTTGCCCAGCGCAAGCCTTGGACAGGAATTTGCACAAATTAGGATCGTAAATTGAATGAATGCGTCCGCAGGCATCATTCCAGATTCTGCGTGGACATCGTTCGTATTCTGCTTGGCATCAGCTTATTTTCGACCAAACCGTGCAGAAACCTTTCTCGACTTACATGCTATGCCACTGAGGTCGTAGCATTGCATTCGGCCGACAAAAACGAGGAACTTAGTGGACGGTGCTCTGTTAGGTTTGACCATCGAGAAGTCAAGTCTGACTCTATGAAGTTACACTGACCTGACTTAGCTCAGTTTGATATTAATACGGGTTAGAGCCCTCCGCCTACAGCTCCACAGATCCACATCTCTCTAGGCTATTTTGACGGGTCAAACTGAATGAATTTCTCGTGATAGTTGCATGAGCTTTGAACTGCTCGGCAACCCATACATTTGGCATTAGTGTACAAAGGGGCCATCGGACTTTTCCTCACTCGACTACCAAGGTTGATGATCGTCTGCTGGGGTTTCTGGAGGCTCAGGTTTCCACTTTGGCTTCTCATCCCAGTAGATATCATACCAGATGTGGCCGGGTTCCTTATCCTGAACACAACACCAAATACCTGTGTACGTCTTTACTCTTCTCCTGAACCTCTCTTCCGTGGCCTGTCACCCAAAGTTTTCAGACGACTGATCAATTGAATGCGTTCCTGAAAGGCAGTGATTGAATCATGATGGAGCTCCAGAGTAGAGACGTTTGTCAAGGGTCGGCTTATTTGGACATACCTTGTCAGAAAAGCCACGAAAAACTCCGATCATCGACGAGAACTCTATTAGCTCTGCATCTTTGTATGGCAAAAGGGCATCCTTGAGCTGCAAATATGTCCATCAGACGATAAGGTTATGGCCTGAAGGAGGGGTCACTCGATTAATCTTCGATCATCCTCTCACACGCACATGTTCCAATAGCAAGTAGACACAAAAGACTGCGAGTGTGTTCATTGCACCACCGAGATTTTCTTCCGGGAAACCCTGAAGGGAACAAGTTACCTCAAATTCTGTAGCATTCGCTGGGAGAAGCAATATACCCGGAACTGAAACTTTACTTGACTCTCCGCCACATCCGGGCGTTTCTTTCTCGCAAATTTCGGCTCTCAGAATGGATTCGTTTACCTGCAGAAGTACGATAAGAGTACATATGAGCGAATAGTCTTCGATAGTATTTCTCGACACCATCAAGCACTGAACACCTTGTATGGAATATAAATTTCCATTCGAATACTCTATAAGTCGATTTCCTTGAAATCCCTTAGTGTGCACGTTCGTATCTCACTCAGAGCAATATCACCTAGTCCACACGTTTTCAGTTGTAAAACCCATATTCAAAGTGGTTACTAATCCCACTCGGAACACATACTTCACTATGTTCAGAATAAGTGCCACTAAAGATAACCTAAAAAAAAAACAGATAAAACATATACCTACTTTCTTTATCTTGTGCGTGCATGATTGATATCTCTATATATATCTCACTAAATTATCCTGGTCTAAACAAAAGGCTGAGGAAACCACGAGTTCCTTGGCAAAAAACCTCGAGTTATTGAAACTATCCAACATACTACTGGGTTCATGAAGATTTCTGTCTGATTGTATATGAGCAACTTCCCCGGACACTACGCCTATCCGCAGAATGTGAGTTTTGGCCGCATCCAACAATAAATGCAGAATTGAAAAAACCAGAACGGTACAGCGACCACAAACCTTTCTGGGACAACGGGGATTCTCCAGAAATGAGTACTCTCTAAATCTAATAGTCTCTCCGAATTCTTCAGAATTCATATCTTTCAGCATAGCATTTACCTGTAAAAAGCCAAGCAAGTTTCAGAACCTGTTAGCTTGCAGAGTGCTGACATTTTCGTTTATCTGATCAAAGAAAGCTTGCAACTTCTCGCATCAGATTTATTCTGTTTAATGTGATATTGCAGGATTTATTACAACAGAGAAAGCGAAAGCATTTACTGTCACCTCACTTTATCGGCTTCCCATTACGCATCAAATGCTTTCAGTGTCTCTATTCTAATAAATCCTGCAATCGATCCACCATGTTTGCAAGGTCGCTCATAGATGTACGCCAATGAAACACATCTCAATTCTCACTCTGCTCGCGTAGCCACATTACTGATTAAGTGATAGCAACAGTGCCTCGCAAAATACAAGTTTAGTGTCCTTGCTCAGGTTTGAACAGCAGATGAAACTCAAGCTGCGCCTCAACTGCAACTGACTACGGTAACATACAAGAATTTTAGGTCAATAACAAGAAACGTTAAAAAGTCAAATGACTGATATAGTACACTGAGGTGATTTGCGAGTCAAAGTTACCTCAAAAATATGATCCATAGGACACAAAAAGGGCTGGGGAGTGTGAGTGCCTACGAGGACACCAGGGTGTCCAAACCAGAGGCGATCTAATCGGCACCACAGGGCAGGCATAACCTGGAAGCAAGCCATTGGTGATTGTGAGAAGCTAGACGTACATATTGCGATGATTATCTACAAAACCACAACGATAGATAGTTGAAGACAACGACATGAAAAATGAAAATTTAAGTACCAGTGTTCTGTTCAAAATTGAGGCCACTGCCAAAGCATTCCTCACTTGTACGAGCTGCACAGATACAATCATCTTAGTATCCCTCTACTGCATAGTAAAATCGGATTCGATTTAATTCGTTAGTTGATGTTAGATAATAACATCAACTAACGATCCAGTGCACGCCAAAATACATAAATAAGGAGGAAACAATACATGACTGCAGAAAGAGAAGAAGGAAAGGTAAGGCCTTGGAGGCTTTGTACTTGATGATTGACCAAAGCAAAGTGACTTTCGACAGTGTGCTCCCCTCCGCTCATCAGATTCTCGGGAAGGGATGGTTTATAGGACAAAAATCCACCTGCAGATAATTAAGTTTCGAAATTATTTTAAGCCATTTCTGGAGCAAGCTTAACAAACTCCATATCTGACGCGTGTACCCATATAACAATTAACAGCACAATTGGAAACCAGAAAGGTGAATGTAATTAGTGAGGCAAGTTTAGCGAGCACTTCAAAGCAACAAATCACATCGTGATTCACCTGTCTTATACATCACTGGTCGAGAATTGTTTCATGAAACTCTCAACTCTGGAAATCTGACGGTTAGTCAGAAACGGTGTACACATTAGTGACTGTTCCGAAAAAGCTAACCCGTTGCTCATTACCTGGCACATCGTAGTACTCCGGTTCATCGAAGAAAAGCTTCGCTTCTCTAAGTCGGTGTCTCTTTCCTTCAGTTCCTGCATACTGAAAGGTAGTGTGTACGGCATACGGCTCCAACTTCAGCTGTTTGTACAAACCCTGTTTTCACCATTCCATTTGCCGGGAATTATAACCAAAGACAGGTCCGGTGTGTTAGGATCCTCATCAACCACTATGCTATTCAAGAATCATGATAGATCAATGAAATCATTCATAAGTATGTATCAATGATAGTTGAACTAAAATCTGATACCTCAGCAAATTTACACTCTAACTGCCTGTCAGACAGCTCCTCATCTCGGTTTTCAGAAGACTTACTTTCCCTTGTTTATCGAAAACATTGTATCGAAGGAAGCATATAAAACAGTACTTATCTTACCTGTACAAAGTACGTGTGACCACTGCAAAATAGGCTCACTGGTAATATACCAAGCTTCAGAGAACCGTCGTAGGCATAAACAAGTCCACTATCTTCATCGACACTAGGACCAAGTTTTTTCTTCATAAGATCATTGAAGCCATTTTGGTCCCAGATTTGATCATCTGCAAGCAACTGATTTTTCCATACTGCAGCCATAGCTTTGGCAACTGCCGTTGGACGCCAGTGGACTATTCCAATATTGTACGCACCAAACGCTAAACAAAACAAACGCAAAAACAAAGAGAGAGAATATGAGTTTCATGTAATGGCTTCACGGACTGTAATTTCACATAGATTTTGTTCTAGTTTTACAAAGACCATATCACTACCGAATTACTTCCGAAAGTCAACCAAAAGCGTTCGTAATCAAATGAATAATAAACGGCCTCGGCTGGAAACGTACAACGGTTCCATAGTTCCAGCTGATCATCATCCCTTGTATTTACGACCTCATCACTGGATGTCAACACATCCGCTGACGGATACCGCTCAAGGTATGGAAGTGGATTCTGTTCCACAAGTTCACTATTTAGGGTCACAAAGGAATGATTTTGACAAGCAGGAACTTATCAGCTAAACAACGCTGTAAGAAAAGGTTTCATTTTCTCTTATGACTAAATATGCTAACTCACCACAACGTGGAATACAACGAGTAAATTTCAATTCTGAGTCACTACTGTCTGATAGACATCAGTTTCGTGATTTGGATCAGAAAAAGAGTGCTCAATTTTCACTTGCTAGGATGTGGTACAACTTTTGCTCACCTTCAACCAGACCATATCTGTGTCACACATGAGCAGTTCGTAACCAAGAGAAAGGAATGCAGTCACCAAAATAACCTTCTCTCGCCCCATTTTATGAAACTGGGGAGTACCCCAACCAACATCAAAGGTTTTCATGTTACTCCCCATATCAAAGACAGGAACACCTCTCCAATATAAATCTTCTAAGAGTTCGGTGTCCATGGCCCCTGCAGGTCAAAACATTTCCAAGAAAAATAAGCCCTGTTCATTGCTTATGAGTGGGTGCTCGACGTGCTAGTTAATCACATGCAACAGATGTAGTTATGCTGAGTAAAAAAACCGAGAGTCCCAGCGCCGAAATTTAGGTCGAAAGAAAATCCAATTGCAAAAAAAGCCAGGATCCACTCAAGTGTGCTGAAGTAGATTTGACAGAGTGTCTTGCTGGGGTAAGGACAGGGAAACCCCAAGTAAGGAGAACTGCATACAAAGCGTACATAGCCAGAGTAAACAGGAAAGCAAATAGAAACAGAGAAACGGGTCTAGTATAAAGAGTGTTGAGAAATCTGGACTACAATCTCAAACCTCAACTGGTACACATTCTCATCCATATCCCAAGTTTCCTTCTCACGGATCAAATGCAGGCAAGATGAGATGGTGCTAGATGTGGGCAGCATTATGTCGACCACCGATGAAATCTGCTGATGCACAAAGTCTACTCATGTTTATGGCATGGAAATAATGGGATTAATTTTTCAATCGAGAATAGTGTTTCTTGTCGACTAGTATGTCTCTGGAAGAGACATACTAGTAGACAAGAAATATGATGTGACCAAGATCTGAAAGCAAACGCTAGGAATGAAGTCGAAACTAAATAGGATCTGTATCAGATGTAAGAAATACTTGTAGACCGATGGCATCGCCTGCTTTGGGTAATTCGTTGACAACCTGTGCACTTTTAAGAATTTCACTCGCTGAAGTAACAACGTACTCAGTGAAACGAGGATGAGAACATTACCCACAAGTATATTTGTGACTCCATCATCGGTCAAACTCTTCACCCACGAGAGCACGAACCCCATGAATGCGTGGTTGGCAAAAGTGACGACAATAACATTCTTCTTCGCTCGAAACTCCACCATTTCCTTCCTGAGTGCGAATGCTTCCCGTGATGGAAGTTTGCTGCCGGCGAGAGGAACTTCCCATATTGGCTTCTTCAATTCTTCTTGGAGTGCGGATTTTGAGTTCCCTGTGGCACTCCTGTTAGTAACGTGTTCAACTTTCTCCTTCCTTTTTTTCTCCGCCGAGGTATTTGTGTCGTCAGGAAGCGAAAATCCTTCACTTGACTCTGAGCCTGTAGCCAAAACACGCCCTTGTTCTTCTCAATATCATCCAAAGCACATGCTTACAAAAGCGTTGGCTCTTTATTTTCTCTCTCGTATTGCAATTTGACCTTCCAGGGGTCGGTATGAAATTGCTCTTCACAAGTTAAATTCCGATTGGTTCGTTGTATTTTTTCTTCTGCATCTGCAGCAAAGTTTCATTAAAAGAAACTAACTTTGACAGTTTAGGCTTTTCTTCTCGACTATATAGTCCACTCTTCCTTCGTCAGAGTTTAGAGGAAGATCAATAAGTTGAAACATATGGGTACTGCTGCACCTCATTCCTCCAAGAACATATTCGTTAGTGCTATGACTGACAAAGTAGATACTTCTGCACATCCAGATGTCTTTCAGCTTTCACACAGTAAATCAGCTCGCTAATAAAACGGCAACAAGCTAACGAGCAGATTTCTTAGGGGAGTATGTCATCATCGGCAAAGGCGACAAATATCTAGAACTTTTCATCCAGCTCTTCAGCTCGGGATCTAAGTTTGACAGCTGCTAAGCATTTCCAATTTGATGACCTAAGAAGGAGAAGGTAGGACTTTACTTCTTGGTTTGTACGCTAAAACTCAGGAGTTTGCTCTTAAACAAGCAACGTAGTACGTCACACACAGCTTCATCGTCGCACAAGAAGGCGGCACAATACAGAACTCATACGGAGAACTAATGTTACGCGTGAGAATCGACAGTATTTGACCAAGACCGCTAACTCCACAACCAGAACGTTTCCACACATAAAACCCCGAGATCGCAAATCATGTAAAAAACATTTTCGGCAGATGTCCGTACTAAGTGCTATTGTGAAATGTAGTTATGTGCACGACAGGCTATTGACAAACGTTCGATTGCAATATGCCAACTTGAGACAGTCTCATTCTCATGACTTAACTTCCAATGCGAATGTCACCAATATTCGAGAGCACAACCCGAACGAAAGTCCATTCTTTGTCACAGGAAAACGATGATTTACATCATGCGATGCATACCGATGGGATGCAGCCCCCGGACCGGCGACGTTGCAGCAATGTATTGAGAAGGCAGACGAAGTTCCGGGAAGCGCGACTGGATCTCCCAGTAGAGGGGTCGACCCAAGTAGTAAGAAACAACCAGCATGCCAATTACAAGGCCGAGCTGCGCTCCGACCTTCAAGGTCTTCATGACCTTGCTTCACGATCGGATGCTCTTCAACTTCATCCACCCTTGGAAAACAGCTTGTGACCACTAGAGCACCGACAGACGAGATCTACACAATGACGACTGGATCACGGTCACCCGTCATAGTAAGGGCCCTTCAAGGACTGATTCGAGGCAATTTGCATTACAACTTCGGATTGCCACATTCGAGGCACAGCTAAACTCAACGAGGCTCTCTCTTCACATCACAATGTCATGCACTTCTGCGTGCTTTGAAACCCCCCCTACCCCTACGGACTCCTAATTCCCCTCTCGCCCTCCCTTGTGGCAAAGCTAGCTGCCACGGAAAGAGTTCATGAAAAGCCGATCACTAATCTACAGAGTTCGAGGTTTGGATCTGAGGCACAATTGCGAATGCACCAAATCCAGGCTCCAGGCCATCCCTTCCCTTTCTCTCGCTCTGTAATCCCTCGCAGCTCTCCTCGGCCTCGTCCTCCTCCTCCTCAGTCAGTCGGAGCTCGAGACACAATCAGACACCGGACCGAGCGGGGGCGGATTATATTCGCACCCGATGAATCAGGCTCGTCATCCCGGAAGAAGGGGAGCTGCAATCTGGAAGATCCCAGAGATTCAAACGACGGAGTCGGTGCCGCCCCGGGCGCTCGATGGGGGCGCTGGTTGGTTGGCCGATCTTGGCATTCTTGGCAGTATCTCTTGCTCAGGATCACTACACCCGCTCCATGTCTACAATCGGGCACTCGACCATCGCTGGGACGAGGCCGCGAGGCGAGGCCCAGGCTCGAAACATCATCGCCCCGCATCGACGCATGCCACTGTCTTCCCTTGCGGCTTGACTTTTCGGTAGCCGCTTTCTGTCGCCTTCGGTCTAAAGTAGCCCCTCTACTTGCCTCCCCTATGCAAGAAGTCAATGGCGCTACAGCTCGGCCCCGTCGGTCGTAGCCCTCATAACTCCGCCTTCGATGACCCTCGACTCGAAGGCGCCTTTCTTGATTCTTCGCGCCGGTCGACTTCCGAGCCCGTTTCGCCTCGCTCCGCGACGGGCGATGTCCGGTGGCCGGCTCCATCGTCGACGATGTGCACCGGCGAGCTATAGACGACAAAACTCTTCTCCGGCCCGACCTCCGAACTCCCTTGCGGCCGAGCTTTCCTCTACCTGCTAGCCCCCCGAAATCCCCCCACGATGCGCATGGTCAACGCATGTCCACATGTGCTTGTCAGAATATACTCTGTTCCGATCAGCGTACAACATCCTCTTCAGACGCCGCACGCCAAGAATTCTGATCTCGCCAATTACCAGCCCATTCTGATGGCCTCATTGAAATTCACCACCCTTCCGCAGCTTTCTCACTTTCCTCTCACTCACACTTATAGCACTTTTGGCCATTCGACTCTCTGCACTGTCAATATTTCTCGTGTTTCATGTAAGAGCCGTTTTGGCCTTGAAGAACGTTTTACCATTTGCACTGCTGGTGCAACCATTCCACATTTGTATTTTGTGGATCCGGCCATTATTTGTAATAATGGGGTTCTCATGTTTTCCTGTTGTCACGAGAATGCAACTTTGTGGTACTACTTTTATCATGCATTAAGGATTTTCACTCCCAATATCATATGTCCAATTCTGATCATATGTTTGACGATGCCATGGCTTATTCAGAAATCAACATCTTCAATGTTCAAGTGTTACGGTGTAACTACTTCAACTGCAACATCAAGTTTTCTCTATGTATTCAATTTGATTATCGCATGTACACTCCTTCATTCCAAAAATGTTTAAGCTTATGCTTGTAGAGAAGTTTATAATAGAAATTTATGTTCTGTATCTGACTATCGTACTTTTCCACCTCCCCTTTTTCATCCATCAGCATCCAAGTTTTTGCAACTTATCAAGCTTAGCAATAGTAAAAATCAGTTTAAACATCAGTAACACTTTTCAAACTACTCATGGATATTTCACTGGGGGAACTGTAGTGCTCTTAGAAAATTTTCATGTTACACATCCGCCTGATTTTTGAAACAAACTTTTCAACACAGTATAAATATCCAAACAAAACTCATCTCATCTTTCAAAAGTTAGTTCTAATTGGTATTAAATTTCACAAGTTTGAATTTCATCCAACTTCATATTTTACATATATGAAAAAAATGATATAAATAAAGAAGTAGATCTAGACTTTTTATAAATATCAAAGCGATATTATTTCTGCAGTCAAATCTACATGAAACAAATTGCAACAGATCATTTTGCACTTGATTTACATCTAATTCTTTCTATATATCAATAGAAAAAAGATAATCAAATCAAAAAATCACTATCTATGCTTTCCCTTAATACATTCAACTTGAGTCAAAATAATGAAAACTTCATGCTTTTAAAACAATAATATCATCATCAAAACATTTGATTAGATTTTTTTCCCCAAAATTTTTCTCCTTTCATGAATTTAATTTCTAAAACTTTATAATTATCATACACCTGTAAAAAATAATTATACAAGCCAATCAAAATCACATGAAAATTTAAAAAGATTGATGCTTTAAATAAAGTCATACTCTAAAAAACCAGTTATTCACACACAAGAAACAATTTACTTTTTAACATAAAAAAATTATAAGTGAATCATCAAGATTCAAAATTCAAAATTCATATATGGAAAATGAATGTTCAAATTAGAAAAATGTGAACTAATAAATATTCAAAACCATTAAAAAATCAAATACTACATTAAAAAAGTGAGATAAAAAGCATTCTATTTGGATACAAATGTTTTCATACCAACATGTTTATGGAAATCTAAACCGATTCTTCGTGTGACATATAACCGAAAATAATTTCGAATTATAGTATACAACTTAACATATTAAAAAATATATACTTCTTAATTGCTCAACGCTTAAATACTAATTTAAGCTTTCAAGCGTTTGAAAATTCAACTACAGTTTTGTTTAATTAAATTTTTGGACAAAAATGCATTTCTTACACAGTTTTATACTTTGAGATCTTAAATGTTACCTCCGCACTTTAATTTAATCAAGATTATGATAGAATATTGCTTCCAAACTCAGTCATGACTAATTGAAGAAAAAATATCTGTGATACAAACTAAAAAGTTCAAAATCTTAATCATGCCAATATCTAACAATTTTTTGTAAAACAGGAATAAATATGACATTCAAGAGTATAAAATATGCCAAAAATCTTTGTTATAAGCTTTAATTTCATATAAATGAATATGAAGATTAAACAAATTTCTCTCATTTATATTTGAATTTGAATCTTAGATTTTTCATTTTTTATGAAAATAAAACAACGTATAAAAATAGACCCAAAAAACAAGAGAACATAAAAATTTTGAAACTATAAAAATATCAAAATATTTTTGAAAAAGAAAAAAATATTTAATTTTTAAATTGATGTTTTGAATTTGAAAGTTATAAATATAAAATAAAATTGATTCAAATAAATTTATTCAAATTATATTGAATTTTGAATAAATTAAATAATAATATTTGTCGAATCAAACATTATTTGTTTCTTAAAAAAAATGTTGCTTGCAAAATCACATGATTAAAAAAAGAAGATTGTTAAAGGTATTGAAGACAATATTGTCTAATTCAAACTTCAATAAGCTCTAGTCCAAAACCCTGTTCTAATTAAAATATAAAGTCAATCATAAATTTCAATGGTTATTAAAAAATTTGAAATATATTGAAAATTTGACTCAAGAACTTCAAAATTATTATAGAAATCCGGATTGTGAAAATTTTGATAATGTGAGACATTTAAAAGATATTGAATACTTTAGAAATTAATTTAGATAATGATATATTTCACGATATCTTAGGAATAATATGTTATATCATAAAGCTTGTGGATTTGCTTCATTATATAAAGCTTGATACTAATAGAATAAAAATCAATAAAAAATAATTAAATATTTTTATACAAATATTACATAGAACAAATCACAAAATTAACAGAAATTTTTGCATATTTTAAATTTTCAAAATTAATCTATTTTAATAAAAATTGGAGTAAAAATTTCATCTTTACGTTTTAAACTTGAATTCAAAAAAAAATGAGATAAATTGATGATATTTTAAATTTTAGAAGTATATTATAAATTTCTTCATCATTTAAAAATCTAATTTTCAATAAAATATTATATTTATAAATGAAAAATTCATTTACATTTATTTTTGGATAAGAACTAACATTTCATTTAATCATAATTCGAACCTAAATTTAAGTTATTCACTTTTTTTTCAATTTTTTGTTCAAATAATTGCATAAGTTTTCAAATATACATTATGAATTCAATAATTTATGTGTTTTCTTGATACAACACAAGACAGTATACTTATCATTAAATGTAGAATATAATGTTTACATTTAGCAAATATGAAAGTTCATGACAAATGAGTTATATCTTCTTACTTTATTTTGATCATGTTATTATACAGTATAAGTCTCATACGATAATAATTTTAACATTAAATTGCAAAGTATAAATCTTAAGATATTGTTATAGTTATTTAAAAAAAATAAATTTTTCTTAGATCACAAAAGTGAATTAATATTGAAATAGGAATATTATCCAAATAAATTATATTTTCTGGTCATAATTTAAAGTCTATGTAATCATTTCAAATGCTTGTATACACATTAGGTAAACAATGATAACAAAAACCGAACTTAAATGAAAGAGGTAGAAAAAAATCTATCCCAATTTGTTTCAAAAGTTTATAAAAACCCGATATTAAGATTGATAACAAAAATTTTATGTTTAGATTATTATTATTTGATTTATAATTTTTATAATTTTTTGGAGAAATTAGCAAATTAGGTAAAATGTGAGTTTATATAATAAATTTAATAATAAAAATAAAAAATAAAGAAAAATTGAAATTTTATAACACAATTTAATATTATAATACATATTTCTTACGCAATTAATCTTATTACATATGCATTGAAGTTTATTTGACAAAATTTTCTAATTTTTAAAAATTTGTTGAAAACATGAGACTGAATTGATTTAAAAAAGAAATTGTGAAACAAACTTTGTTTTCATCATTTCGCTTATTTTTGACTCAACGTAAGTATATAAGAGAAAAGAAAAAGTACTGGTTTAATTTTAGAAACAAATTATTGTGGTTAATGACTGATTGTGGTTGACTATGGTATATGTTAATTGTAGTTTAATTTTGAAAACATGAGCTTGAGTTATAGTTCGTTAAACAGAAAAAATAAGTTAGAGGAATTTTTTTTTGATAAAATCATATTGATGTGGTAGAAAAGAGAATATAGATCACCATGAACAAAAATTTTACATGTGAGGATTGTACAAAATCACAAGGATAAAATTTGAAAGCCTAAGAATGAAGACATTTCAACCTTTGATTCTCCCATTGCGCGATAAGAGTATGGAAGAATCTATGCTGCATCAACTTTCAAGGTTAAAGAAGATGAGTCATTGTATCTAGGTTGCACCTGTCATAAAAGCTAAAACCAACAAAAATACCTGGTACTTTGAACAGTATTGAGAAAAATCCTTGCTTGATAAGCCTGATTGAAATCCTCATGAGGATGAGTGAATGGATCTTGTACAAATTTCCAACGCGGAGAGATGAGAAAGTACAAATGATCCAGCAGCAGATCAATACCATTAATCGATTTAACAAGAAGATTATTCTACTTCAGAAGCAACTATAAAGCTCTAGAAGCTTGAGTAGACCTTTGCAAGATTGAAAGAGATTTGTTTTGTAGAAGACTAGTATTTGGAGCTTTCGGACAATGTACAGGATCTTATTAGATGCAAAAATCATATTACGGCTCGGCTGTAATACTTGGTCAACATATGTGTCAAACATGTATTTATCTGGTACATAGGAGTGAAGAATTGGAGGTGCTCTTGTGGTACAGCTTCATTTGCACCGGGATTTCTCCCGTCTGTACTTGAAATGTACATCATTGTCTGGCTTTGGACAAAGTTCGTCGATGCTCGAATGGTATGCTTTGATAGTTATGAGGTTCAAAAAAATACCAACAGATTCAGGAGCAGTGCGGAGAGAAATTGGAAAAAAGGCTGGTCGACGACGTCATTGTCAAGGGTACTCTTGCACGATCATATTCTTACAACATGACAATCTTGAATCTCGACCTGGCCGTCTGTAGGACAGTGTCAACTGCAAACAGGCCACCATTAAGTAGATCTGTACACAAATTCATATACGTCGACAGCAACGTGCAACATCCAAGGGATCTGGAAAGGGAGAGTTGCGGTTGGTACGATGACGACCGGATCTGGGCGTCCAGACTTTTCAAGATGGGGTAAGATACGTGAAGCCAAACGATCGGAACGCTGTAATATCTAATGCAGACCATGACCATGTGCTCACTACAGTACTGGTGTCCGGAATGATATTATTTTGAAACTCAAGCTTTCAGTTTAATTTCAGTTTTCATGGGGTATATCATGTGGTGGATGGAATCTGAAGATTTTTTGAGCTGGACTTTGTTATACCCACTCTACCGCTACTTTCAATGTTGCTTAGTTATATTCACCTTTGCCGACACCGTCGATTATCTTACAAGTCTACTCCAGCCAGATTATCACCAACTCGTACAGATTACCAATCCTTCGTTCAGCTCCTACCAGTCCTCCGGAGAAATAAGAACCAGCTCCGTGTGATTTGAACGTAACTTCTTTCGTCATCGCCAGGAAGTGGATAAAGAGTACAAAATTGTAGTTTGAAAAGTGACTTTACTTACATTTTTTTCAATACAGTTTGGCATTGACAGTTTCTTCAAATCTACCCTGAGCTGGAATTTTATTAGAGAAGAAACATAAAAGGCCTGAATTTAGTTTGTGATGAGGTTTGTGAGCATAAGGAGAGCGGATTTTTTTATATAGTTTTTTAGCGAGTGACAATGTTTTATTCATAAAGACTATTATAGAATTGAAAATCTAGTATTCCAATCACTTGTTTGTTACGATAATTCATACAGGATCAACTTTTAAATACGGATGATATTCTTAAAATTTTTGGCACCATATAAAGGATGTTATGCTAAAATAGACAAGTATCGGGTCGTATCGTGATAAATTGAGGTGGTAAGGAATTATTATCAAGTTTAATTAAGATATGTGTAATTTAAAACTTACGCCAAAAATCTAAAGCCAAAAGGTGCATACGTTCCAAATCATAAAGAGATGTATGAGATCACCACATATGCTTTGAGCCATTCAAAAGCTACGTAAACTTAGGAATGTATCCACCTTTTGGCTTTAGACTTTTGGCCTAAATTTCCATAAAATTTCGAGTTAGCCCATCTCCTTATTCTTCGCTAAATTCAGTCAACTTAAGTAGGTTCTTGTACCTAATTGGTCGCAATCAGAGAGCCGTTGTTTTCACTGATGTAGAGTTTAAGGAATGAAAGAAAAAATTCACACGCACGCACTTATGGCCCATCAAAACTTCTCAACAAACCAACCAAACTAAGCCAACAAAACTTCTCCACTCGAGTTTACTTCCCGATGGCAAACTTGTTGACAAGCCGAAGTAATTATTTTTCTTGATCTTTTGACGAGTAATAATATATCAGTAATATATCTTCTGATTATTTTGATAACTAAATGTGGTTATAACCTCTCAATCTCTTCTTGCCATGAGTTCGCACTTCAATCTTTGACTTGTTGAACTATCAGTCTACTCAGCCCAGAATATGCTGCTAAAGTCATGTTTGAAATTTCCAAAGGTGGATGTTTCATATTAAGGTATTCCAACTTGTATATCTAAAAAATATATGAACAGTTTTCCCAGAGTCAGAAATTTATACACGGTAGTATATAAAGCATTTCTCACCCAAATCAAAGTTCCAATAGTATATTAAACTCTAAATTTGTAACTCGTATTATATACAAGTTCGTTTTCTATTTCTTAGGTGACTACCAGAAGTATTTCATTTACGTTTGATGTCTTTCTACAATCTTCAATATTCATTTCCCCCTTCCAGCGAAACAAAACAGGCAATCAAAGACAACATTTTCAATGTAGGTATCCATAATCAATCATTCATTACAATCTTCACGCTTGTACCGAAATGAAACATATATGTGCATATTCATGCACATACATGTCTCTGTTCTGTTCAGTCTTCTCACACAAAATGAAAGTTTCACATATATATAAATGCAAATGTAAATAAATAAATAAATATAAATAAATAATCATACTGTCTATATTCTTCAATTTTCAACCTGAGTGCCATTCATTGTAGATAGAGAAGTGAGAGTACTAAGAAATAATTCGATTACTATCATGATCCGAAGAGTCTAGTACATAAATCGTGCACAAAATTCTGTTCGTTTTTTCTTTTCAGAACGCGAATGTGACGTGAACCATTCACAGCTTGTGACACGCAAACGCACAAGAGTGCGTTCCTTCATCTCTGCCGTCACTTTAGAGGAGGATGTCATATTGAGTGACTCTCAGAGCCAACATGATTCAGCGCCAATCACGAAAGCGTCAGGCAACATGGAAGAGAATCTGGCTCGGCCTGACCCAGTGCTCATCAATCTATGATGAGTGTCTTCAGCAGAACAGTCATTCTTCAGTACACGACATACTCTCCCACATTTTCATCAGGCCAGCGTAATCCGTCTTCTCGTATCCGATCCGACATTACGCATTGGGTCCACGAACTTCTCGCATTTCCCTCGAGCCGTACCCAAATCTCAAGTGCGTTGGCGACAAATCATGAACGTAACCGCATCTGCGTCATCGAATCCAATCCAACGAGACATATCTGTGTGCAAACAGGGCGTATCTGCTGATGCCCGTACCGACGAATCAGATTTGAGTACTCAGTGCCAGCAAAGCATCAGGCGTCTCGGTGTTGACTCGCGAAACATTATGAGCTGACAAACCGTAATAATCGTCGGGCTGTTAAATCTCCCACACATGGTGCGGTCCAGCCCACTTATGAGGCGACCGACGACTGGGAATAAGATGGCCTGCAATCGACGGGGACAAGTCCTCACAAGGAGCATGTTTGAACTACCTGAACATTTGCACAGGCATCGGCGACAGACAATTTCCAGGCTGAGACATTCAACGAGAATGAACATGCGCATCGGCCAGAGTGAAGACTCACACATAACGGGAGTGAAAAGAATGGCGCTTTAAAGCGTTTATTATACCCCAGGGTTCTCATGGCTTTAATGATTCTATGTACTGTATAACTTTTCAAGGGGTCAGCCAGACTCCGTCTGTGTCTGCTCACCCTTTGGGCGTATAAAGATCGTATCCTCTTTCTAATATACAAACTCACTATCTAGTCCCTCCGACAGAAAAGACCTGGCTGAGTCGGGAAAAGCCTGAGCCAAGAGAAATTGTAAAACTGAAATCCGCGGGAGCACGAGCGATCGTTTATCGAGTATTGGGGTTCGACATTTGAGTAAAATGCTGAAACATGGAGCTATCGTCCGTATAAAAAAAAGATAAGTTGGTAAGCAGGCTGCACAGGAGGGAAAGACAACAGTGTATTTACAAGCTCAACACGCATCGACGGGCTTTTCAAAATTGTGGGCGAACAGGTAGCGAAAATTGAAATCGAAAGCCATAACCTCGAACTTCCGAGCACCAAGTAGCCGACTTTGTCTTTGCTGCCAGAACTCCAAAATCAGTGACGCTTGATTCGCTGGCAGGAGCTGACAGATCCAATCAAGTATCGCAGCATCTTCAACAACATCTCGAGCGTATGTATACAAAAGCTTGGGAACAAGCAGCTTTCCCTTGGCGCTGAGTCCAACGGAAGCACGTGCGTAGTCCCTCAATGCCAGATTCAGCTCCTTGTTGACACATCCCGCAGTGTAAATTCGAACCTGCATGAATGATCTTCAGTATCAACTCCCACACATCGCAAACTACAATTTCCAGAACTGGGCTCTCGAAATAAGAAGACAAAGACCACGAGTGGCGCCTTTGGTTACAGCTTGGGAGGAAGAAACTCTGAACGAGGGAAGACAAGGGTGGCCGTTAAATCAACAGCCAACAACAATGTATCTACAGTAAAACTCACTGTTCTCTACGTTCTGACGTACTTCGGTGAAATCAGTTCATTTCGTAACAGTGCATTCGACCACTTCGACATCCTAGTCGGCAGTTCAGGGCAGTGGAATGTCTAGACGCCATACCTATGACCTAAAATCTTAACAGTACGCCGTTGGCACACGACATACATTCTAGCACTCTAGGTGATGTGACAGGGATTTGACCTGAAAGACAAGACAAATTCGATGTTAACTACTTGAATCGCATTCCACATGTGATAACACCCACAAAAAGAGGAAAGCCAAGCTTACCGCTGGAGAAGAACGAGCTCCACAGCACAGAGCAAACACGGTTTGAGGCTCTGGATAGTCTATGGCATAACTGCTTTGTTCTTCGGTCAAATGAAACTTATTTCTGTGTAGTGCCATCAACAAAACCTGCTCGACAGCACATACATTCAAGTTAGATACCAACGGCGGAACGCTTGTAGAAAAGGAGTCAATGTTGCGAGGAATTATATAACGTCAAGTAGGTTTGGAGCTTACAATTTGAGGCCGATAGGAAGGCGGTCTTCCTCTCAAGAGCGAGAACTCTATGGTTGCAGCATTGAACGAGTGACCACCAACATTGTAGGCAGCCTGCAAATTGGAAGCTCCAGACTATCAACTCGTGGACAGCCTGATTAAAACAATTCACATGTGATGCTCTCCGGCAGGGCGAATAGGAATCAACCAGCATGGCTTGAATGTCGTACCTTCTGTAGGAGTGAGAAGTACTTCAAGTCATTCCGCGGAATCCCGTAGGCCAGATAAGCCTGCAACACACCACCAAGCCGATTCAACCTCAAGCTTTCCACAGCTGGAAGGACAACCTGGAAACCCCGCATGATCCGGAGAGGTGAAACTGGAACCAGAAAAGTCTGGGTGTTCTTACGTGCATCATGAGGGCGTTGTACAGATTGATCCAGAATGCCAGCTTCTCCGTGTGTGACATACCCCGAGGGTCCACGGCAGGTAACTGCTCCACCAAGGATCTAAACAGCGACATGCAACACGATATGAGTACCCAAGCCCCAAACTCTGAACGATCTCACAGCAGTCCCCAGACAAAGTCCGCTGATAAAGTACTCCGCAAGGGAGAAGGGCTTACCTGAATCTTTGCAGTGCCTGCGCCGCGTACCCAAGCTGGTCCTTGCGCACAGACATCCAAAGCACCTCAAGAACCTTGCTATAAGCCCCAAGGTCTGCCCAGGGGATTCTACCGCGAGCTTTATACGGGTCAAAGGTATTCTCATTGCCCCAAATCTCTTCCTTGCTGCGCAAGTCCACTAGCGGACTTCGAACGAAAGAGAGAAGCGAGGACTCAGAGAAAGACGATAAGGAGGATGAAGTCACGTGTCCCAGAGGTGACGTTGGTGATGGCAAATTGTCATAAGACGATACAGGAGGAGTAACCACTGCTGGGTCTGCAAGGTGACAATAGATACTAATCATGCACCGAACCATTTCCTCAGATAATAAGTTGGGTGTTTGAGAGTAATCTCTGAAATGAAATTGGTCATCCCCATCGACCACACACTCCACTGGGCACACAGTGGGTGGGAACAAGGGTCCCATCTGCAGGTACGAAATCAAATCACAGTAAGCGCTCGATCTGACGGGGGGTCCTTCTTCAGATTAGCATATTTTCTCAATGAAATTAGCGGGCCATTGTCGGCTGTTCTGCTCGGAGACCACATGGAGGATGTCGGTTTGCGTACCGAGTTTTCTCCCCGGCTGATGGTGAAGGCTTTTCGGGACTTCACAGAGGAAAATTCTTCTTGGAGATTCATTTTCACCCGGAACTTGGTTGAGCATCGAGGCTGCAGCACGATGACAAAAGAAGTCAGTTCCTTCCACCACGAGGACAACAGGAGGAACGATCACAGCATTCGGGGCGATGCATGCTCAGATAAAGACATGGCTGGTTGGACAAGCTTATGCACCTTCTCGGCCGATGGTGGTTTGGACTCGCCGGAGAGATAGTCACCCAGGCTGGATGAGGTCTGGGGAGAATGAAACTCATCAGACGATTTACTCCACGAATTCGAGTGCTCTGTGGATGGTCGAATTTCAGATAGCTCCTTCACATAGCTCTCCGAAGGAGAATCGCAAAGAAACCGCAAATCATCAAAGTTGGCAGGTGACGTAGGTCTCACACGATGCTCAGGAGTGGGAGGCGACGATGTCGGCAGCGATGCCAAGTCCTGCTCGAGGCATGTTTGCGCACACGAGCCGGACCGATCGCTCGAAATCCCAGAGAAGGAATGCCGAGCGGGAGAAGACGGCGAGTACCGCGAAGGCGAGTACGGGAATGAGAAATCCGAGTCCTTGGCGATGGTCGACGACTGCACCGGACCCCGCGACCCACGAGGAGACCCCGGCTCCTGCGCCATTGGCTCCTCCGGGCAAGTGTGAGGGTATTCCGTGCGGAAGTAAGGTTGGGTCGGAGAGTTCAGAGGCGACCGCGCGAATGTCTCGGGCAGCAGCAATGGCGACACTTTCTGAATGGTGGTCACCGACGGCGAGAACCGCACGTGCTTCTCGGAACATCGACCCATGCCTCCCTTCTTGGACGCAGGGCTCTCGCGATACACACTCAGAGGCGGTGACTGATCGCAATCGTCCGAGCTCAGGCGCAAATGCTCCTGCAGAGTGAGCAATCCCTGCCGTGGCGCCGGAGACGTAACCTGCGACTCGGGGCCCGCCGGAGCAACCTTGCGCCCGACAGGCGACACTGCTAAGCTAGTCGCCATCGACGACGACGAGGTGAGTAGCAGGGACGATGAGCTCCTCTGCAGCACGCCCTTCGACACTGCGTACGATTGCTCGATGTCCTCTCGCTCCTTTTGCTCATCGACGATCTGATACTCCAGAATTGCCGCCCGCTCCTCCAGATCGGCGACCACCTCTTCCAAAGACGCAATGTCCGCGAGCAGCTCTTTCGCCTGCGACAACGACAACCCATCAGACCTCTCAGTTCTACACTCACAACGGGCTCCGACGCGGCTCAACGTCTCTCATTAAATACGAAGTTAAGCCCACACGCTCGCGTCGTACTTACAGAAGTCGGAAGATCCTTGCTCGCTTGGGAGAACCCTCCATCTTGATTGTCGAGCGCGGTCTCCAGCGACAAGTGCAAATCCATCTCCTTGTACAGGCGCTTTTGGAGCATCATGACCTACGGCATTGCCCACGGACCGACGATCAGCAGCGGACGATTAGTCGCAACACACGTCTCAGCGCAAAGTAGCAACCTCGAGCAGGAGCCGGAGGGGAGGAGGAGCTTACTTCTTCTTCCAGCAGCAGCCGACGAGCTTTGCGCTCGTTGCGCCTCTTGACCTCCAAATCCGCAGCGTAGTCGATGAACTTATCGCTCTGCCAAAAAAGACGAGTGTAAAATCTGCGTGTCAGAGATTACGACGGGGCGTGTAAAACTGTAAAACTCGCGCGCCAGCGACGCCGGTGGTCCAAACCTTGGACTCATACGCCGACTTCGAGCTATGGAGTAGAGAGGGTAGTGTAGAGGCCTGATACGACTGCACATCATTGACACTAGGACAGAAAGCTGTATCCTGTGGCGACGTACATGGTGCACAAATCCTGCCCACGAGGACAGCCTACGCATGGTTCTGACGAGGCAAGACTGGCGGCATGCGCTCAAGTAGAGTGACGTACTTCTTCGCTGCGCGGACCATGTTCGGCAAATCGCTCGCGCTCTGAGTGGGCCGCCTTCGGAGCAGCATTCCCGCGTGCCTTCTGCTTCTTGCGCGCTTGTCTCTGGCACGTGCTGTCGAGAGGGAAGAGTGAGTCAGAAATTAGTTGCTGCGCCGAGGACTGTAGATCTGCGAATGGGGGTCGTACAATTTAAGCCTATGCCGCAGCCTACTTCGCGCTCGATGCTAGTTGGGGTTATAAATGGATCTACGTATGTACGTCGTAGGCGCAAGATCGAAAGATAATCGCTACCTGGAAGCATTTCTGATTATCATAGACGGACGCATAGAAAACTCGAACACGTCTTCCTTCTGACAGAACTGCAACCAAACAGATTTTCGAAACTTAGCGCAAGCCAGCGAAGAAAAATCCATCGACAGAATTCATGTGGAGAATCAGCGAAACGAATTGTGCGACTCAGACTCAGAGCAGGCGCCGTACCCATTGTTTCGGCGAGACATTCATCCACCTGCGCGCGATACCCAGTTTGTCGGGTCTCCATTTTCCCTGGAATTCACAGACGTGAGTAATTTCAGGATCCCTCGCTGCGCCGAAGCGTCATCCCCGACAGACGACGGTTTTGGAAGAATCCTATCGTGATGGCTGTATCCCCGGTGGAAATCAAATGCTGCACCACCAAGTCCTTTTGCACAAAATCTACTGCGCCCAAAACCCTCCAACCAGACTAGAATCCAAGAGCATTCATGACCATCACTCGAAGACAGCGAGACTCGCTCCGGGAGAACGCACCCCACTATCACGGCCGACGATTTCTCTCGTGTGACAAGTGGGCCGACGATAAATCTCGCGGCCTGCTGATGGCCGGCGAGTGCAAATCAAAGAGCAATCTCACACATGACGCAGGGACGAGGACGACGACTTCGTCTCCAAATGCCTCACAAGCCCACCGCATTGGCTTCCAGAAAACCTCGACTCGACAGGGCCTAGACACAACACGCTTCTCGACTATACAGACCTGACGACATTTCGACGTGGTCGACAACTATACCTCGAGTTCGGTCCGGAATTGAAGGAGGAGCAGTGAATTGCTGCGACCATGCGGAGGACGAGACGGCTTGTCGCCATACGGAGACTCCGGCGGAGAATGATCAGGCTGACTACCAGCCGCTTCCTGAGAATCCTTCATTACCATGCCAGTACTCTATCGCAAACCCGATCTTATTCCTGTTCATTGCCATCCGTTTCCCATTCCGGCTTCCAACCTCCTCTGCTACAGCCTGAGCCAACCGAGGCGCCCACAATCCAGCATCATTCCCGTCGAATGCTCCGCGGCCTCTCCCACGCACAGACCTGCGAGTCTACCTCGACCCCTTATACTCTAAGCCGCGAGAAGCACCCTCGTGATTCAACTCCGACAAGTCTACGCGTTCCTGCCGCCTCCGTGCACCGGGCGAGCCCGGATGATCACGAGGTGCCTGGCGCTCCGAAGCGAACCGGCCCGCGCGTGCTCGAGCTCGAGCTCGGCCTCGGCCTCGTCCTCGTCCTCGTCTGCGATGCTCAATCCCGTAGCGACTGCTGGCAAGAGAATTTATCATGACCGGGTTCCCGTGACATGTCCCGCAGAAAAATATTCAGAAGCGTCCACATGCAGCTGCGCAGGAGAGGAGGCCTGGGGGAGCGAGCGAGCGAGCAGCAGCAGAGGAGCACAGGGCTGCGAAGTGATCAGCGACTAGTCGCCGAGAGGCCGTCGTAGCACAGGGAAAAGGGTGGAGTGGGTTTAAAGGTGGTCTGAGGCAGGGGTGCACATTCTGCGATCGCGGACGAGTCTCCAGCTCACGGGCGAAGTCCAGGCGAGGAAATCAACCACTTCTCAGGGCGAGAGCGTACGACAATTGCACTATGCGCCTCTACTGCTCGGCCTCCATCCAACCGACCGCCTGATGAATGTACGGTCATTCCGCGAATGCGGCACATGAGATACTGATACTGCACTGCAGCTCGAAGACTGCGACAGTCAGCCTTCCTTCCTGTTGTTGCTGCTGCTAACGATTCCTCTACTCAGCCACCACCCACCCCCCGCCCCTCGCTTCGACCACCATAGTCTCGCTCTTCAGCTACGACCACGCAAAAGAAGGTGTGACCCTCTAAAGCTGGCGGAGCCCAATGGTGCCAAACGACCTCCGCAGCTTTACTCGCTTCTAAACTTGGCCTCTGAGCAGCAGCAGCTCCAGCAGCACCATCAGCAGCAGCCACTTCGCCCTTGTATCCGCCTCATGCTCTCTCGCAGTCCCGCTGTCTCGCTCCATTCCTCGCCAGTCGCAACGCCGTTCGCAACTTACTCCGGCCAATTATTTCCCCCTTTTGCGACATTACCGCGAGCGTCGTCGTAGATTCGGTACGTGCTACGTGGCCGACCGGCGTACCGCCGTTATCCGTAGCTCGCATCTCCTCCGTCGGCCCCGAAGGAAGTCCCATTCAGGAGGCGGCGCGGCTGCTCCGTCCATGCCGTGGACGGACGGCACCGCCTGGCGGAGAGAGAGCCCCGCCAAGCGCTCCTACTACTCCACTCCAAGGGCTCGGTGCAATTCGCAGTCGCTGCTTCCTTCTTTCCTTCTGCTGCTGGGAAAGCCGCCAATTCTCTCCTCGACCTCGACGCTCTAAAATTGGGTTCCGCCAAAAAAGGTGGTCGTGTCTTACATAGGGAAGTTATGCCGTCCAGACACGAACACCTCGAAGTCCCGCGGATTTCGTTCCTCGCTCTATAAATAACGATGGACGATGGTCCCGAGATTTCCCCTAATTCTCCACCGAGCCGCGCAGTACCGTCGCGATCGCGTACGCGTGCGGGCGTAGCGTATGCCTCCGCTTTGGACCCGCCCGGGACCATTCGGCTTCATGCTTCGTGAGTAGAATCTCGAGTCTATTCTGATGATGGTGGAATCGGGATTTCGGATTTGTTCTTTGTTCTTTGTTCTTTGTTACATCGCACTTCGATCTGTTGACGAGGTGGGGCAGCCGCGGGGGCCCTGGGAAAGGCGAATCACGTCGTTGGCGAGCTTTCAGAGTGGTGGTCGGCACACCTACCATGGCCGACGACACTGCCCCTCTCGTGGAGCGGCGAGCCCTCGGAACCCGATCGTACCATGGCGAATTGGCGAATTGGCGAATTGGCGATCCTCTTCGCGCCCGACATTGGAGCATCGGAGCACATTTCCACGGCATGCGGACCCGTTTGGACCCACGGTATTCCTGATTTTCATGCATGTTTGTCAATTTATAAACAGGTCCACCGCAATGATCACCAGGCTGCCTCGACCTACGGAATGAATCTATTTGGGCCATCATTGCCACCCTACCCTAGCACCAATATATATCTCCAATCCTATCAATAGAACAGTTCAGCATGATTGCAAGAATTATCCTCGCGATTTCCTTTTTCTCGACTTTGTCGGGTTCTTCATTCTTGTGCATGCCGGCCATGAACTTGAACGATAAGATTAAATAATCATCATCATGCGAACGAATGCCCTTGACCTAAATTTCCAGTTACTCGTTCGTTCAGATAATAAAAATTCCCCCTTTATGTCATTTCTTCTTTTCAACGCAAGCATCTTTCATTTTCATGCTTTCTGATGTTGCTATTCACATAGGCTTGTTACACCTAAAGCCTTTCAAAGTAGACACAAAAGTAAAGCGAATCAAACCTCGAAAGTCTGGAGCCGGAACATACAACTTGCATATCAAAACAACCGAGAAAGAACATCATCACTCATGACTCGAAAGTCAAAAGCATGCAGGCCTAGGACCTCGGTTTCAAAGCCCAGGTCAAGAAAATGAATGATGATGTACCCACTTGAACTATATGCGAGCACAGTGCAGTTTTGCAGAATGTTAGCATTAGCATCGAGACAAAAATCTGAATCAGTAGACTACGGACTACGTCTTAAGGCCCACTCTGTATATGGATGTCAAGATTCTCTACCAACCATACGACCAAGATCCTCTAATGCAAATGGAATATTGATGTTCCCCAAAAACACCAAAAACAAAAGAGATCTAAGTTCATGCATTGCCTCTTTGAGTCTTGGATAGCCAATGTGTACAATGCATATTATTTCACCAATTGTAGGCACATCTCATGGTCATGGAAAGGAGTGGTTTTTCTAAGCAGAAATGACCTGCGTTCTTGTAATTTGCAAGTGAAATAAATTTCATGTGCATAGATGTCAGGTCATTCAAGCCTTCATCGTAGGAATGAGTTGCACAATACATTGAGGATATAAGTATACTAGTTTTCTATACTGTATAAGGAAAAACTGTATTTATAAAAAGGGATTCCAAAATAACAAAAATTGCCGTCACTTAGCCGTCACCATCTTCCATCAATAAGATATTACATACTTTTCATCACATATTTATCTATCCACTGATATAAAACGATGCTTCAGCTTAGAAGCTCCTGACGAGGTTACAAATCTGGTGACCATACACTCAAGGAATTTGAATAGAAGAGGATACATGGTAATAACAACACATTTTAAACTTCTAATGATTTTATTTTTTTAATCGTCAAGCTCCCACATGAGGTTAAGATTATCGTCCATTAGATTCTCATTACTTTATTTTTGCTTAAATTATAACATGAACAAAACTAAGTAAAGAACGAACGCGAAGTAATGTCTTCCTCAGATTCGTAGACACGTGGTCTATTGTGATTTTTTGTTGGAATAATCTGTTCATATTTTCATGTCAACAAATTTACTTAAAATATTTCTGTATTCAAAAATCAAATCCTTCACATGTCATAACTATTTGAAATGACTGAAGTCTATTAAGATTTCTTTAAATAACAAGGAATACATTCCTTTTTATAACCGTTGATAAAAGCTAAGAGTATATTTAATTCACCTAAAATCATCACTAGTGTCGTTATTGAAGGGAGATAATTTGTTCATTGTTCTGAAAATTTTGAATTTACCTAAATATTATGTTAAATGGGGAAAACACAGAGATTCACATTTTTTTGGTAAAATTATATTTATATTCCAGAATTAGAGTAAAATCCAATATATCGCTCATAATAGTTGTCTGATTGAATTTATTCCAAAGACAAAGATGTAGTTGTGTTGCCACCAGATGTTGAAGCAAAGAGATCTTGAGAAATCGCTATGTGATTATGTTTGGTAACTTGAATAAAAGTATCCATATGTTGTTCATAGTTTTTATTTAAATGAAATTGCTGTATAAATTTTAGATATATATATTTCAAATATTTATGCAGTCATCAATTTTTCATATTAATGATGTATACAACCAAAAAATTAGTTGTATGAACTCATATTGTAACTAATTATCTCTTCTATCCTCATAATATTTCACTCGATTTGTGTTCTTGTGAAGATTTTGAATTACATACTTTTTCCTTTTTTAAACTATATATAACAACATCATTTGGAGTAGACGAGATATCAAAATGCAGTTTTATCAACTTCATTTGAATCTTATGTTTATTTATTGTGAGCAAGTATAACTTGTTGTAGAGATTTCTACATCTGTACGTCATATTATTGCCAGGCATAGAATAGTATCTCATAGGCTTGGAAATGATGAAGTACGTTGGTTAAATATTGATAGGAGTGAACGAATTTGTAAGTTATATGATGGGAGAAATGTTGAGTATGAAGAACATATGTTTCTTACTTGTACTAGATGTGTATAAATTAGAGTGAGTCATAAATTTGTTGTTGAGAATTTCTACTCTTTGCTTCAGCTTGAGCCTTCTGATTTAAGTTGTTACATTAGGGAATCTATTAGTTATCATTCTAGTGCTTTTGGCACTAGCTAGTGGGTTCTTTTGGTTCTCTCCTAGGTTGGAGTTGTATTGTGTCTTTTAGCCTTTCAACCATTTGGATCCCACGGGCTTGATCTATTTACCATTTACAAATATGATTTTAAATTCTTGAAGGTAGAGCATGTTCTCTTTGAGTGAAGTACTGCAGATCAAATACGGAAGACTTCTTGATATGAAGTACTTAAAATATCTTGAACATCTTTTGGAAATCAATTTTCAAAACTATATAGTTTCATAGTAGTTTAGCTCAATTTATTTCAGTATTATTTTCACTTTTATGAAATCTGGAATGGCACATGGTAAGCATTCCATCTCTCTTGGAATCTCATCTTCATTTGTAGGTTTTTTAGGCAAACGTGGCTATATATTCACTATTGATTACACATAGATTAATCTCTTTGACGGTTCACATGAACACATAGCAAAGGTTCATAAATGTGTTGAGATATAATATTACCAAACACTTCGAACTAAGCCATGACAATCTCGCTCAACATCAGACCATTTTTTTCCTTTTTCGTATGAACTAACTTGTCTTATTTTATGATCGTGTAGTGAAACCTGAACAGAGAAGGTTATTTGAAAACAAAATGTACTCAAAACTTCAGCAAACAAGACAGTATACGCAACGAGTCGCACTGAGATAGTCGGATACGTAAGATTTCACACCTCTGACTTTGTAGCTCTTTGATAACGTCTTATTGTGTCAAATAACAAGATGAGCTGGATGATGAATAGCTCAAATGACATAGTGAGAGAGACACATCTACAGAAACATTGATGACGTGTTATCATGTCTGGATAGTGACACCCCCATGCATTTCCATGTCCTGACTATTCTTCAAAAGTATTCAGAATCTATATCTTCAGGACCATAGGAGCACCTGATTAAATAAATTAATCAGGTGATACAGTAATGAAGACATAAACCTATAATGATTGTAAGAACTTTCATACATCTTAGAATTTCGAGTTTGGAGTACTATATTACTTAGAATATTACTGGACAAAATTAATACGTGCATAACTTTTCCAACCACTTCGAGTTTGTTCTTGTCACGTTCCTAATCTTACGGCCTCTGGTTTTCCTTCCCAGATCATTAACTGTTTCTTTAAACCCAAAGTGGTGGTTAGTAGATTCCCCACAGAATTCCAGGCATAATCACGTCTCGTCGAGAGATTCGGTTTCATAAAAAATACAGAATATGTTTGCCGAGCATGAGAATGGCGACCGAAGTCGATTTCGCCTTCCACGGCGAGAGAGAGAGAGACACGGTGAACTGGCAACGACGCACTTAATAGACGCGAGGAAATTACGTCGTCCGTCGAGGCTCGTACGTCTTATCCAGTGACGGTTTATGTCATGCGCCTGCGCTTGGCCCCGCCCGTTAATGAGCGGATCTGAACGATATGCTGGTGACGAACGCAGGGCTTTTTTTTTAGTACCAGAGCTTGACCATTGACACACAAGACGCCAGGTCCCAGGAGCGCGGCCGTGATTTCGAGGTCCTATCTCAAATCTAGTACCGAAAGGCGTGCACGAATGTGTCATGTCGCTCCTTTCGGCCTTCATAACGTCCAGGCGCTGCTGGAGGGCCATCGGGTCAACGTCGCTGTACACACAAACTTGACATTTGCTGCCGATGCATGAAACGACTTCGTTGCGCACATCCTTCGATCTGCCCTGAGGCGTGCCAGGAGCCAGATACCCTAATTTGCTTCATAAATAATTGAACCGAATTTGATGTCGAGACGCCTTGCGTCGTCCTCGACTTTGCATGGACTCGCTTTATGCCACCGGAATGATGAAGTCGAATACTCTCTGGCAAACATGGTCCATGAGAGTTATGATCGATTGTACTGACGGGTTTCATGGACAGCCAATTTTGAATCGGTCTGCGACACATATGAGGTCACTTTGCTAAAGAACGAAGCACTTCCAATCCTCCCAGCAAGAAAGGAGTTCTTTGCTGGTCCTCAGATCCTTGCGACGGTGCAATAAGATTTTGTAGGTCATAAACAAGTGACGGTTAGGAATCTCGTGGGGACGAGCTTATTGTTGTCGTGTTAAAAGGCATCTTCAGTCATAAATGCTACGGGATTTGACCGTGGTTCCCGATTTGATCCAAGGTAATTTCACACGCGAATGTCTGACTCGTACGCTTGGAAAGATTTCCAGCTCAAACCAGGAAAAAACAACCTCCTCGTTGGATCAGGTAAGCCTACGCTAGTTATCAAAACGGCGATAACCAGTTGTCGATGGAGAAGGTAAATGTTATCCATCTCCATCTTGTCCATTGGAATAATATGGACAAGAATAGGCTGACTTTGCGCTTTAGGCGAAGAGTAAGCAAGGAGGCAAGGAATCTAGCAAAATGGATGGGGGTATCCTCGTCAAGGCCCTACGGGCATGAAACGATAGCATCACAATGGGAAGTGTGGTGAAACTTTACCCCTTTTAATTGGTATTTGCTGTTGCATCTAGAGTGTGTATAGCTCACGCAGGACGAGTAGAATGGGCATGCTTTCGATTCAGTTCACATAAGTTGTAACATACTGAAGCTTAGGTGGGTGGGGTGTATCGACACAGCAGGTGTAGGGGTACACATTGAGTTAAACCCCTGGTTTTATATATCTAGACTTTAACTTATAGGTAGCTGTGGATGTCTTTTACAAGATTTTCGACTGAGGCTCACTTGGCATTACAGGACGAGTTGGCAACACATTTTTTTTTATTAGATAATGTAGTTTAATGCATACCCGATAGACCTTATTTTAAAAGGAAAAACGTATACGGATGTAATGTATGGCAGACAGATCTATTAAACAATGACTTCTAGAGCTCTTCTAGTCCCTTTGATCTGAAAAGTTTAGATATTTAGATGCAGTATGACGTATATCTAATTGTGATGCTGTTGAAGCTAGCCCCATCTTAAACCTTGGTTGGTTTCATCCCTCCTATGCCGTATTACTATGTCTTACCGCAAATTACCCATTTCGCATTTCATGATAAATTTCCCAACACTTTTATTGTCGTCTATCAACGGACCTCACAGCCAGATCTATCCAGAACGAAGCTTCTCTAGCCATCGGATGTGAAAATTCACAATTTCAGATTATCTTACTTGTACGATGAAAACTCAGTAGGAACAAAAATAAGACATTGTTTACCAGATTGTAGTCCTCATGTTGTACTCTTCAATCCCCCTAAAAATGAACCAATGAACTCGATCCTCCTCATCATGCTTTCTGTTTACACGAGCTCGTCAAATGCGTGTTGGGCCTTATTTTGTCTAAATTTACGCACAACGTGTTAAGGGTGCGTTGCTTTTCCGTGCCAAAAGGCCAATAATTCATAACATCGACTTGTCCTATCTCCTCCGAAGCTGGCTTACCTTTCCCCAAACTATGGCCTGTAATACTCGAAGCATGTCTGGTGCTGATATTGTCCAAACACCGGATGTGAGGCTGCCTGGAGACAGGGGCGTGATGTTATCCTTGGGCCATGGTCCAGTTAATGTTCTCTCCACGATGACATACTCTGCTCTTTAGCTCTGGGAACTTACAGAACGAGTTCCACTGCAGCATGTCCCAAGATGGAGGAATCTGCGGAGGGAATCAGAAGCGGAAGCCGAAAAAACATCAGAAGAAACAAGTCATGAAGGCAGACGAAGACAAGGGACACCATGGTTTGGGAAACACTTCTTCCCACTTCCGTCGAAGATGCCATCACAAATTACTTCCCTTTACCTGATTCTCCTCGGAGACGCTATTTTGAGGAGGTTCTTGACGCTTGCAATGTTCCAGTGTAAGATCCGCGCTGGAAGATCTCTTCTGTCTATATACGACTCGTCTTTTCAAAACATGGTCGAATCATTGATTGCTTTCTTTCTTTCCTAGTTTACGTTTAGGGCGCGACGCAGGTGTGTTAGAACACCTCGACTCTTGCTATCCTTGGAAGTGAACAACGAATACCTCGTTCCGCTTTTTTCTAAGATTTCGTTGGTCGAGTCAAAGACCGGAAAACATCCAGCCAGTTTACAACTCACGCGATCAAAATGTCTCAACATGCATTCAATAATCTGCAGTACTTGGGAGATTTACTACACGTCTATCACTAGCCCTTACTATACTGAGAACGAGTGAAGCTCGAGCTCAAAACCCTTGTCTAAATTTTCAACGACATCCCATCCAAGACCCCTGGACCCGGTAAGTCGACCGCAACCTGGACGTACAAACACGAACTTGCTAATATACACTGTAATGTGAAGAGGTCAATTTCATCGCCAATTTGCGTGCCACGATGAAGAGTGAGTCAGATCTCAGTCCACATGCAAAACCATGGCCAGAAATAAGCCAAGGCTTGTACATGCTCCGTTTAATGCTTGCACTGTGGCGGACACGAAGTGCAGTGAAAAGGCGAAAGGCGACTTGGCCCGCAGAGACACGGAATGCTCGGAACGGAATGTCGATCCGCATGTCCGGACTCTGAGGACTTAGCGATCCCGCAGAGTCATGTACTGTACGTCGTCATGGACGCTTGATATTCGTCTGATGGAAGATTGCCGTGTATGTTCATACCCAGAAAGCCGTTTGCAAATCAAGATTCAAGTCATCTCGTCACAGTTTTCTTCACATCAATCGATTCTGCGCCTTTAGAAATGATCCTTTCTGTTCGTGCAACTCGCGAATGTCATTGAGTTTCTAGAAATAATCATACTTAGCGCTAGTTCGCCCGTAGCCCCATCAACTCTAAATAACCTGCATTTGTATATCAAAGCTCATTCCCAGAAGACGATCAATTGGTGTGGACCTATTTTTTGTTCTCATAGCTATGGAAGACGAATTCTGCATAGAATTTTCTTATGTCGGCTGTCTATATGAGATCCTTTTCCCCGTTCCTTAAGGGAACATATTAAAGTGAACGACACAAATAATACCTTTTTTTTCTTTTACTTTTTATAGTTTACAATCAAATTGCATGCTTCGTGTAGTTGCCATGTATGATCTGAATAATATGAGATATTTCGTAAAATGAATCATACGGTTGAGTATACTATAATGGTGTTTTCAATATTCTCAAAACATCTGAAAATTTTGTTCTCCATGTCTGTAAAGTTTAGAAAACAAATTTATATCTAAAGTCACAACTTTGTATGACATTAGAGTGGAATGCAGGCTTGGAGTGAAGTTATGTTAATTGAATATTATTTAATCTACATTTTTTGAACATTAAAAAAAGTCCAATTTAGTGCCATAAGTGAGAATGTAGAAAAATTCGAATGAATATCAACACCACATTTTATTCACAGAGTAAGCGTAATCATAATTAAGTAAGAATTGAAGACTGCAAACAATATTTCCTGCAAAAAAACAGTTATTAACATATTAGGAGAAAAAATGATGGAAAATCTCTTTGATCCATAGTAAATAAAATTTTGAAATATTTTCAGAGATTTGAAACTTTCAAATTTCTTTAGTGAAATGCAATTTAAATTCTTTTAAACTCTCATTTATGTTACAATTTGATATGTTAATAACATTACAGTTCACAAAAGCAGGAAAAATGTAGCACAAATGTTTACCACTGAAAGCATATCGAGATGATCATGATGAATAAGATTTGGGTTAAAGACATGTTAACAAATTATATACATATATTAATAAGAGAAACAGATAAATCTCAAATTTGTATTCAACGTACATCTTGATTTCGATGGTATATATACATTAATGTTGGTATCTTTGATGATTATCTGCCATAACATAACTCCCATGTGAGATAAAGGGGTGAATTATGATTGGTTGTGACAAAGCTTAAAATTGAGTGGCAGTAATTTTAAACTAATAGTTTTCTATAATTACAAAAGAGCAAGATACCCTTGTCTGTAATGAAGACCTCTTCGGATCGTATAAATGCTTATAGCATTAGAATTTGTATACACAGTGTCGATTACTAAACCGTTTGATTCTTTAGTAATATTAATTCGAGTTGATAGAGATGATAAATTTCCCCAAGGTTTTTAGTATGGGTAGGATTCAAAGAAGAAAAGCCCTTCATGTTTAGTGGTTTATTGCGAGTGTGTCTCTTGATAGTTATACTTCAAGAACTCAACTCCACATCATTTAAGTGTAAACATGGACCTAAGAAAATGTATGTAGCAAGCGGCCAAGAAACGATGGAGATACATGTGCAGGTTACAAAAGGAAAAGTCAAGTAAACGTAAAGGGGTTGTTTACATATCTGATAAAGTAAGAGTAGTCAACTACAGTGAACAAAATGTAGTAGATGATCTTCTTCTTTGCTGCAATTTTTCTTAAAACTTAAAGTTTAAGAAATATTTGAGATATGGCTTGTTGTAACTTATTTTCAATCATTGCAACAGTATTTTATAAGCAAATTCTCATTGATTAATGTCGATCAAGTTCATGATCGGAATCAGTTCAGAATGATGTCTTTGAAATTTGTAGTGAGAATGAGTTATTTAGTGCATTCACTTCTCTTGCATTTTACGTCCAATAAATGTGAGACATTTAGGCATCTTGATTTCTTAAAGAACTGATCTTTTGTTGATCACAATGTAGTTCTGTATTGGACTTGGGTTTGTGGAAAGTTGAAATAAACACACGGTTCACCATTCACATTGATTAGGGCTAGAATCTGCGTGTTCTTAATGACTATTTCTTCATTTCTAGGTTATTAGGATTTCCAGTGTAGTCAAGTAACAATTCAGTGATGTTCAGTTGTTTTTGCATTGATTCTTTAATCAAACGCAGCCTCTTCTCAATGTGGACTATGTAGACTATCCCGACATATGTTTTGAAAATTGATGACATCTTAGATGGTATGTTACGAGATTACCGGCTCGAGGTTCACCCCATATAATATATGCGTAGGAAAATAAGTCCATTATATATATTTGTAGGGTTTTTGTGTCTGAAAATATAAAGTAGTGGGTCAGATCACTCGCAGTCGATAGGGTAAGAAAATGGAAAGATATCACAGCTGTTCTTTCAACTATCGATGATAGCATTACGTAAATCCCAAATGATCTACATGTGAACGTCATCGAATATACTTCATGTCTGTTGAGAAACTGGTACTAAACGCCCGTTGATCAACGGATTCCACATGCTCAATCTGACACGGAAATAGACGAGTTCAAATTTTAGGATATGTTCTGAACTGAGAATATTGCCTGCGGTGATACAGTATATTATTGGGTGTAGCAAATTATGTCTGGAAAATATTGCTGTAGATTTGACGATTAATGAGAACTGCAAACTGATACGCGAATATCGTTGAAAAATACCCAATTAATTCTCGACTGGACTGATTTGAACCTGCTTTGATGGAAATCGAGTTTTTTTGCAGCAGGATTATGAGTGAGTAAATCGTAATACTGAAGATGGGACGACAAAAATAAATCAATGCAAATGCTGGATTTGAAAGGCGGTAATCATGACAGACAGTTTGGAATCATAGGTTATATTTACACATTATCCAAAATCCTGGGCACTGTTCTTCTGGACTTTGGCTGGATCGAAATCAAGGACACTCGGAATAAGTGTGCGAAGTCGGAACTCGATGGTGCAAGGCCGCAAGAGGAGGCGGTCGGGCTCCAGCAACGGAAATGGCCCCGAATTCTTGTAGACATGAGTGGGCTCTGCTCTGCACCGACTGTATGGTCGATGGAGCTTCCGATGATGCGTCAATTGAGTGGGATCGATGGGGGGACTCGTGGAGACTCGATGCGAGACCGTATTGATTCCGGCATGGCATGCATTAAGGATCGCAGAGGAAAACCTTGAATGCAGCTGGCAGCCGCATTGCCACAACTCTCGTCACAAATGATTTGGTTATGCTGGTCGGGGCTCAACCTCGGCATCCATTAACGGACTTCCTGATCAATCGCTTCTGCGTACAGTTGTGTACTTGGAAGCTCGAGCAGATGCCACGCTTGGTCGAGCGCAAGGCACAATCGGACCTTTTCGTCATTACAGAGGATTCAAGAGGAGTCAAGAGGCTTCATGATTGAGCGGTTTCAAGCCATGGAGGCTGCATAAGCCTCGGACCCGAAGGAATCAACAACAAGACTTGTTGCGTGACGAGCCCTTGGGCCGATTCCTGCGTCCCCGAGAGTCAGGCGAGCTAACTTAAGAGTCTTGACGTGTGGCCCCACCAGGTCCGAATTAAACCAGTCGACACGACTTTAATACTTACAATCCATTTCAAACAGCCGTGTGATCTTCACCGAAAGACTCCCATTTAAGACCTCCTGGAGTCGAGGTTATTATAAGCGTATTTCATATAATCATATTTTGATTGGGGGTGCCCGAGCGGCGAGCGCCAATTTATCAGATCCAAATCTGGTGGAGAGTCGTCCTGGAATTTGAACGCCTCCTGCGCTTAATTTGGCGGCCGAGTACAGTAAAAGTAAATGAAGCGGCACGCCCCTACCTTCGCAGAAAGTGACACTGGTCGTAGAGCATCATGAGCGATGTTCTGCCTTGGAAGATCGGCAGTACGTGTTCAAATCTCCATTGATGCAGATGTCCCGGCTCGAGCAGCATCCAATTGAATTTCACCTCTCGCGAAATATGAATCATAAGCCAATTACTGACAGCACTCGTTGTCACTTAATGTGCCGTAATACTGTCTAACTGACGCTTGATCTCCGCAACGACGATGATTGCCTTGTCAAGAAGCTTCAAATATAGGGGCATTATTGCCCCCCCTGGAAACCTTCTCTTTTCAAGGCCCGTATCCTCCTCTGGCTGTACTGTACTGTACTGCTCTGCCCTGCGCCTCCTCCCCTCCCCTGATGCAGCTACGCTACGCTAGGCCCCCTGGAGCTCCCCCACCGTTTCGTATTTGAAAATCCCGACCTCGTCGCCCCTCGTCGGGAAGTGTACGTTGGGGGGGGGGGGGGGGGGCGAGGGGGGGAGGAGACCGATCTGCTCTGCTCTGCTCTCGATTGTGTAAGGAAGGCGTCAGGGCCCCGCTCCGCTCGCCCAATCATTCCCCTTGCGCCTGTCCGTCCCGCTGGGACGGGGGGAATACTAGACGGTATTAAAACAAACTGCGCGATGTTCTCCCCCTGCTCATTAGGTCTACATTTGGGCCTCTCACGGGAGGGAGGTGCTGGTGCAGATTTCGCAGAAGGCGGTTTCGTGTCATGTGGTCGTTCCTCGTGTTCGCGAGTTCGCGCTGAATGTCGGTTGCCATCGCCATCTCTCTTCACATTCGAATTCGTCACAGCTCTACCTTTGCCCCCGGCTAGAAGCGAATCGTAATGGCCTAGGCAGTACCCGTGCTCATCGACTTTCAGACTGCAGCGCGGGAATTAGATTCATGTTCACGCGTTTTTTTCCCGGTTAATCCCCAGTCCAGGGTATTATAATGGGTGGAATGCGGCTCCACTTTCTTCTCCAGACTAGAGCTACTGCAAAGAATGAATCTGTCATGCCTGTGTCGGTCTGCATTCGCCAAGGGATACCGTGAGCCCTACTTTCATCGAAAGTGAAGACTTTCGCATCGGCCCTGTCTCGTCCGTCATTCGTTCCGTTGAGACCGTGTCTGCATTTCGGGGTTCTGGGCCTTTTCTCTGTCACTGGCGCAAGGCAGAGAGAGGATGAGGGATTTCATAGAAATTTAGTAACCTTGATGCCATACCTTCTGGCCTTCTACATCATGATCGCACCAACTACAGAGTACAAACTGTCTCACTACAGACCCTGCAGGCTCCTTACTGCTCTCCACTGAATGCCCTGTTCGTAAAGGAGGTGTAAGTTTGCCCCAGCTGACAATTCTCGGGTCCTGCTTTGAGAGTGGTTGTGGATTAGGTTCATTGCCTTTTCGGGTTTCAGTCTTCTATCTCACACACGAAGCCGTACCTCCCTTCGCCTGCATCTTCTAAGTTGCAGCTTTTCACAAGCAAGGGTAGTTCTGTGACACTTGCCATTTTGTGCACTGCCGAATCAATTCTAGGCTCATGTCCGAGCCGTCTGCTTGTCCCGTAACGACCCGATGTATACGCTGTGGTCGGTCTATACCTTCCAGTGATGCAGAACTGCCATCTCCAGCCACCTACTCTCTCTCGGGTCTCCAGTGCGTACATCATCGATTGAAAGATGAGCTGAGCCCCTGAAAGATTGGCTCGTTCAAAACGGCATGAAATTGCGCATGTGCGGCTCTTAGCGATCAGGGACGTAACCAACCTTTCACGCGGGCATGGAAATGGGCCAGAAAAATGACAGCATTGCGCAAACACATCAAAGCTCCGGACGGTTGGTGTCAATCGGCCGATTGGAGGCCGTGGTGAAATGAACGTGACGAGTTGGACCAAAGTACACAGCCACCGTAAGCTCATCGAACTCGAGCCATCCATGAAGTGTACAGAAGCGTTGACGCAAGGCAGGGAAAGCTCTTCCAGATGTTTCGACAATGAAGTGGCAATCTTGTCGATCCTTGAGAAAGGCCAAAGGCGCTGCTCCTCCCGTACTATCAGACGCGCGAGCAACAACTGGCGTGCATGAGGCGCGGACGACAGCACAGAGCACTTGAGAATTTGACATACGGTTCCAATCAAGTATCCCATGCACACTCGTATACTACTATTCCTCGTCAAGTGTAGTATGCCAGCTTCTGAGCCCAGTCGTACGCTGACGGAGGGAGTATGTCTCTCCCGGTTGAGCTTGAATTGTACTAATCATGAAGCGAGTTAACTAATAACAGATAATTAGAACTTGATTTTCTCCGGGAAAAATATCCGTATGATTATCATGTTAACATTAGCGATACGATGTTTGTCAAGTGGTGTAGAACTAAAGCTTCACGAAGTTAATTTCGTACCTAAATTTCATTCCTGAACACCAGATTACTTTACTTTATCCGAGGTGAGGCATGTAGAAGTGAGAATCCTTTAAGTTCAGGCCATCGCTTGTACTTAAATTAGTGGAGTGGGGCGAAATAATCCAGTATTTTGTTAAGGATCAAGTGAGATATTGGATAAATTTGACAAGTGTGATTTATTAAATTAGCATTGACACATTATGGAAATTTGATAGATTTCTTTATTATGCATGGATTAATGGGTGGAATCATCACTGAAGTGAACAGTGAGAAAAATACAGGTTTGGCCCCAAATAATCAAACAAGTCCGAATGGTGCTGTGTGCCCACAGCACAATTGGAATTGTGCTTTTCGCGTCGGCTGCTGCCTGGAGATTGATAAGTTCACATGAGGTGACTTGATGAGGAAAAGTGATCGATGAGCGCGACCGGTGTTCGAGCAGTGAGGCCGGTTTGAATAAAGCCGAACTCTATTTGTTAGCAACTCTTACGCATGAGTGCTAGGAAATCTGATATGGAGGTGATGGCTATGGCGAGTGCCGATGAGTCTGAGCCCCACACCTCCTGGATCGATTGGTGTGTGCAATCGATTCTTGAACATCAGAAATTGACTCTCGATCTCAACCAGCATTGGCTTTGGAAAACCTTCAAATTTCTCATCTAAACCCAGATGTGACCTCCTTTCTTGTTCGTCCACTGGAAGTGCTCAGAATTGTGGCCCTTCGTGTGCCGTGGATGTTGGCTCGGTAAGGATCCAAGTGTAATTTCGTAAAGCCTTTTGCCTCGAAACCATTCAATCCTCTTCGGTGGAGTTGTGGGGTTGGAAGGAAGATTCCATGGTACTGAACTACTATGGTGACAGGATGTGTTGAGATCACAGTTTTGAATACTAGGCAAGTAGGAATTTTCATTGTAAAACAAGGTGTCTGGTAATTCTACATGCGAACCATCTTCCGAAACTCATTGTTGAATTATAAACTCAAGGTATAATCTAACGTTTGAATCCAATAAAATTTGTAAAATTAGATTAAAATAATCACTATTTTCTGATATTTATTCTATAATTTTTTTATCATTTTTATTCTTTCTTATCTTCAACATAATATATTGTACATCTTTGAATACAACATGCAAAAAGAGTATGAAAGGTCGAAAGTTAATAGAGACAATCAAAAAATTAATTTAAAGTGGAATACAGTACATTGAAAAAGCTACCTGAATAAAGAATGAAATTTCTCCTGAATTTATTGAAAAATAATATGGAGTGGAGTAAATTCAAGAAAAAATTTGTACGAAAAAAAGTTAAATTTTTTTTCATTCATATCAATACATGATTACAGTATAAACAATCAGCACGCCAATTGAAAAATTACCTGATATATTTTCAACCATATCTGATAATTACTGGTCATAATTCATCATATGATGTTTTAGAATTAAATAATACGAAGAAGAAATAAATTTATTTATTTCTAAAAAGCCCATCAAAATAATAAAAAATTTGAACCAATCAATCTTTATACTTAAAATTTAAACTTATAAATAAAAACGAGTTTTTCAATAAGGAAGATGCTTAGATAAATCTAAAATCATGTAAAAAATAACAATAAACTCTTGATGTCTATGAAAGTATTCTCAATTTTACAATATTAAATCTATAATTTTCACATTGATACTAAAAGAAATTAATGAGACACATAATCTTTGATTTCCTGATTATTAAAATAAAATTTTGATTTAAGATGCTAGATATCTCTAGTGCATAATAAATGATTACCAAATTTACAAAAAAAATCAAGATAACAATAAGTCTTTGAAATTTAACATCATAAAACTTATTATATATAGTTCATATAAAAAATATGATTTATTCTAAACACTTAGATAATAATATCAAAATTGACTTGTAGATAGCAATATCCTGAACACATCAAATTGTCACAATAGTGTACTGAAGTCACATGAGTATAATAAAATATGATGGCTAAATTGATTTTTTATCAACACAATAAATCTTTATATTGAAACAGATGATAATATTATGTACATAGGATTAACATATCCAAAATTACAATAATTTTACTATATATATATATATATATATATGGAGCGACTAGTTATTTTCCAATTTACAAAAATTATATAAATTGAAAGTTTCGTGATTGGTCCGAGGGAACAAAAATGCTTTAAATACCCATGGTAAAATAATTTTTTCTTTGCCGACTATCTTGCTTTTGATCTTTGTTATGAATTCACAACCAGTGCTACGGCTGGGTGTGTTGCGATGTTGAGTATTTTCATGTACATCAAGTTTGTTCCAATGAAAACACAAAAAATCAAGTCTTTTGATAGCTCAATTTTTTTGTTACAACTCTACGTCTCCAACTAATCACGTTAGCGCAACCCTACTCAACGAGTGAGTTTGCAATGCCAATAACGTAGCGTTCAATGTTGCATGTAAGACCTATGGCAGTGGAGTGGGCGTGTTCATTTTGAAATGAGATACCTTTTACACAATCATAGAATTATGTTACTAAGCAATTTATATAATTTTTGTAATGTAAGGGACAATTATCATGAACTAAGGTATAACTAACCGCTTCCTATATACATATAATGTAATATATTTTCAAAATATTCTTTCTAAGGAAATTTTTTGGTTGATAAAATGAGTATTATTTATAAAAGTTTTCACCTAGAAAAACGGAATTTGAAACCTCAAATTCTAACTTGAAATACATGCATTTTTTTCCAATAATGATGAATTAGACAGTAAAGTGATCATTCGGCTCGAACATAAACTAAACCCACAATAATCTAGCTTAAATTAAGATATTTATATTAATTGCTAAAAACTGTATAGATTTTATAATTAAAAAATATCTTAATTTTTTTTTAAAATTTTCTAAAAAATTTAAAATTCTGAATATAAATTTAAACAAAAAGTTAACATTTTTAAACTTAAAATGATAATAAATTCAAGTTCAAAGTAAAAAATTCAGTTAGTTTTCACTCTTCCAAAATATCTCAATTGAAAATTACAAGTAACATTGAAAAAGTATGACTTTGATGCATTTTGAAATTTATAATAATTTATTTTTTTATTATAAATCTGATTTATATAAATTTATAATTTATTATAAATTTTTAAACTTGAAATCCTAACTTCAGCAAGTAAATGCTTCCATTTTATATAATTTAAAACTGATATGTGTATTCAAAATTAATAATGATTATATTTAATATAATAAATGTCTTTTAAAGAAAATTTTTTGCAATAAAATTGTGCAACATGTAAAAGAAATTGTAATATATTTGATGTGAAATAAAATTAAAAAGAGTAGAAATTCAATCATTTTTCTATATATAATCATAAAGAATTAATTTAATAAGTTAAAATATACTTTTGTATGTTTGAATAATAAAATCTAAGATTAATTATTTTAGCATTACAAATACATTTACATAGCATATGAAATCTCAACATGAATGTTTCTTAATATGATACATTTTGAGTGATCAAACCTTAGCAATTTAAAACATCTTAATGAAAAACAATTATTGTAGATAAGTTTCTTTTGTGGGAATTTATATATGGAAGCTGGTACTACCTCCAATTGATTTTCTGTTTCCATCCTTTCCTCCTTCCTTGACACCTTTCTATGTTTTTCTATCACAAAGCTATACGCACACGACCATTATCATTATTGCAGCTCAATATGAAATTAGAGAGTTAAAGCTCTCCCAAAAGAGTTTCGAGAAGATTATGGTTGATATTTCAGAACACGTAGAGGATATTCAGGAGAAAGTTGGTTCTCAAGCTTCCACTGTTGCTACTCTTAGATTGCATGAAGTGGTTGAAAGTCTAGAGGTGAAGATGAAATCTTATGCAGAAGCCACCAAGTATGCTCATATCTCTTTCTATCAAGAGCAAGAGATTGAAAAGACTAATCAATTTGCTCGTAGAAAGAACGTGAGAATTTCTGGTCTACCTGAATCTAAGAAGGAAGAGGTGAAGAGTGTAGTCATCAAGTTTTTGGCTGAAACACTTGATGTTCCTAATGCAGATGTGGCTCAAGCTTTTCGCATTGGAACCATAGGAACCCAACCTTGAGCCATCATAGTTAAGTTTAATAACCAAACTCAACGTGATACAGCTTTAGCCAACAAAGTTGTACTCAAAGGACGTAGGATTTGGTTAGATCCCGATCTCACAAATCTACAAGTAGAGGTGAGGAGAAAGGAGATTGCAAAAGTCAAAGAAGCTCAAGATGCTGGATTTTTTGCTTATCTCCGTGATGGACAAGCAATTGTTACTCAACGGAAGAGACAATCATCCACATAGCAATCCAAGAGCTTGAAGGTGTTAATGTGGAATATTAGAGGTCTTTCTACAACGAAGTATGTGAGTGCTAATCCAATTTGGAAGATGGTGGACATCATCAACATTGTGGAGACGTGGGAACATGAGAGCAACACTATTGGAGAGATACCAGGGTTTACTTTGGTGGGATCCACTTGGAATCAGAGAAGTCAATGAGCTGGAAGAGGCTATGGCAATATTGTTACTTTCATCAGATCTCAATTTCTACCTCTGATACATTTAGAAGGTCAGGATATTGGAGGTCAATATCATTGGCTTCGTCTTGGATTGGTTGGAGTATCTTATAGTTATTTGGCTGTTTATTACTTTGCACCATTATCCATGCCTATCTACTTCACACGCACTTGCAATCGAAGTCAACCATTTCATCGACTTATAGGAGATATTCTCAATTATCAGAGCAAAGGTGAAGTTTTTCTGGTTGGAGATTACAATGCTCAAATAGGTTGTGCACAATTTACCCAAGTTGGTGATCTCTTGACTTTTCACTCCTTTGAAGAACTTGAAGATAGTATGTGGTTTAGAAACTCTTTTGATATTTGTACAAATCCTTTGATAGAACACTTTCTAACCTTTGGAGCCACATGCAATTTGAAAGTTCCCAACGATATTTCTCTCTTTCCCAACTCCTTTTTCCAATACGTGTTTTTCTCCTACAGATGTTAGCACCATTGATTATCTTTTATCCTTGGCCACTCATAGCTCTCTTATTTCAAAATTTGATATTCAAGAACCTCAGCCAGAGTCAGATCATGCACCTCTCTTATTTACTCTCTTGATATAAAAAACAATCCCTCTCTCTCCATGCCATTCTGTTTTAGCTTCTCCCAAGTTTCGTTTAGATCATAGTAAGAAAGAACAGTACATGCTATATTTTCAAAACCTTTTGACTCACACTTTATGGAGCTTTGATCCACATACAGCGAGTGGGTAATTGGTAGAGTTGCTCAAAAACACTGCTTCTAAGTTCTTTTTGCGGCACAAGGATCAAAGAGCTAGGGGGATTCCTTGCAATGGATGGTTTGACTTGGATTGTTAGCAAGCAAGGATGAGATTAGTTGACAAGTCTTTGGATTTTCAAAGACGGCTCATAGTGACAAGGCTTTACAAAGACTTGGTGAAGTCTAAAAAATGAGCTTCTTTGAGGACGAAGCAGGAATCCTTGACAAAAGAGTTGATAGAGAATCCCAAATCCTTTTGGAGACGGTTAGCTGTAAGGTCTTCTAAACCTACTCTTGATCCCAAGAGTTTGATTGACTTTGCTGAAAAGCTTTATTTCTTTCCCAATGCTGCATCAATGCCTTGTTGTGAAGGAACATCAAGCTTATTTTCTGAATCAGAGTTGATGACTCAAGTAAGAAAATTAGCAAATGGTAAATCGGAGGATTTGGATGGTCTTTCTATTGAACTTTTGAAGTGGGGAGGAGATGTTATTGGACCAATACTCACCAAAGCGTTAGAGAATGCTGCTATGTATGGTTTTCCTTCAACTTGGTCTTTCCGGAAGATTGTGCCTATTCACAAATCAGGAAGGAAGTACTTGGTGACAAACTATTGCACTAT